TTGCATTAGCGTCGTTGCTCTGTGCGGGGAAATTTCTCTTCCCCACTGACTACAAGGAATACAGTTACGGCTTGCATCAGTGGCGGGGCCAAGAGGCCAATCTATTCCCCCTCAAGCTTCAATATTTGTGATCCCGAGGAGCTATATGTCATTAGGGGCCGTTGGTGAATGACCATGTAGAAGTCAATTGGACACTTTTAGTCTTGATGGAGCTGAGGTCCGCTATTTCCCCCCTCTAAAACTTGGTTTGAGTCATGATCGTTGTCATGTCCTACGATTCTTCAGCCATAGCACAGTCCTTAGTTGTTGTAGTAATGGCACATTGGAGGTCAATCATGCGTTGTGGGAATACTAAGAAATGCTAAATACAGGACCTTCTATTCAACTAGCTGACGATTTGCTTGTTACAGAACAGGGTCTGTACATTACAGAAGGCCTTGATGCCATTGGCTCCCCACTCAGTGCCGATGCCACTCTCCTTGTGCCCGCCAAATGGGGCCATGGGAGAGAGATCAAAGTGAGTGTTGATCCATATGTTGCCAGCTTGGATGGACTTGCCAATTCTTGTCGCTTTCTTAATATCGTTGCTCCATACCGAGGCTCCAAGTCCCATTGAAGTGTTGTTTGCACGTGCAATCACTTCTTCCTCCGTCTTCCAGCTCAAAAGAGGCACGATAGGACCTATAAGGTTGTGAGTAATTGAACAATCCGTACAAGAATTGCCGGGTAAACACGTACCAAAAGGCTCCTCGACGACAATCCTTGAATCCTCGTCGGGCCTGTCAATGATGGTGGGCGTGACAAAATATCCTTGGGATGGCTCAATCTTTCCACCAGTGGCCACCTTCCATCCTTGCTTCTCGATATCATCGAAGAAGGTCTTGACACGTTCGTACTGCATCGAGTTCTGCAGTGGCCCATGAGTGACACCTGCCTTTGAACCATCGCCAACGACATAATCTTTGACCTGCCGCACGACCGCATCCCGGAATTCCTCATATATAGACTCGTGCACGTAAATTCTCTTCAAGTTGAGGCAAATCTGTAAACAAATAATTGAGCCTGTGTCCATATCACACTCATCAAGAATAAACCTACCTGACCAGAATTTAGGAATGCGTAAAAAGCAACCTTGAAAGCAGTTAGTTCTCTACTTCGAGCCTCGCCCGTTGAGATCTTACCTGTTGGGCAACTTTGTCAATGTTGATATCAGGAAGAATGATGGCGGGATCGTTCCCTCCACTGAGTCGTATGTTAGTCTTGGTAGTTTAAAAGTACCTTATGCTTACAACTCACAGTTCCAGAACCACGCGCTTGAGCGTCTTACTGGCACTTTGAAGTACAAGCTTGCCGGTTGTCGTGGAGCCGGTAAAGCTAATTTTGTCAATACCAGGATGACTGGTAATCCATGGACCAAGTTTATCATCTCCGCTCAGGGACTGTACAACGCCAGGGGGGAAGAACTGCTGGGCGAGCTCCACAAGCTTGAGCCCACCGTATGGGGTAAATGGACTGTGGTTAGGGCCGTGTCAGCAGCCGTCGTTTTGACAGAGAACAAGAAACTTGGGGGGAGATCTTACGATGGCTTCACAATGATGACGTTGCCCGTCAATAAGGCCGGGGCGATCTTGCCTGTGGCGAGTAGCAAGGGGAAGTTCCATGGAACTATGGCCGCAACAACACCGAGCGGGACATATCGAGTGGTGACTGTGTGCCTCTCGTTGTCTTCGATGACATCTTCCGGAAGACTAATATTTGCCATCCCACGGATCCATTCGATGGCTGAATCAGTCTCGTAATCTGCCTGTGGAAGCTTTGAAATGGTCAGATGGAAAAGTTACCCCATGGCATGACAGCTGCTTACTGGCTTTCCCTGCTCTGCGACGAGAAGATCTCGAAATTGAGTCCTCAACTGATCAATAGCGTCGGCGAATGCTAGAACGGCACTGCGACGTTCTTCGTAAGGTACCTGGGACCAGGTTTTGAATGCCTCCTTGGCGCAAGACACGGCACGGTCCAGGTCTTCCTCTGTCGCGAGCGGAACATCGGCCATGGGCTGCAGAGTGGCAGGGTTGACGCCATGTCTCGCCTGTTTTGTAGGACTTGGTTTGCCTCCGATGATGTGAACAAATGAACCTTCAAAATCCAGGCTAGGGGTGGATCGCTTTGTCTGGTGCGTCAGACTCGGGGTAGCTGATGGGGCCATGATGATTCTTCAGGTAAAGCAATTAACGATGATGGAAATTATTACGTGCGAAACAGGCAGTAATGAAAACTTGTGGGCTGCTTTTCTGTTGCCTCAAGACTGTGCACATGGCGCTGGGGAAGATTCATTAAAAAGGGCTAAGAACTACCTAGGATCGGATGAAGACGACGGTCCGAATCCGGGCGCCGTGTGAAGAGGCACCAAGAGTCGTCGTGCCGCGATTCACTATGCTAGCTTGACTGACTTGAGGCGGGGTAAATGACATGCTGGACGAGAGTCAGCCCCCCATCCTGCGAAATAGTATGGATCTTGCTTGGCGTGCGAATGCCCCCTCATCACAGGTTCCCCTCGGCTCATCGGGGTTGTCAGACGGCTTGGTGACGGTCCGGACGCATATGTATTGCCGGGGGATTCTATACTACTGTTGCTCATAGCCGGAGCTGTGAAAGACATGTATGAGGGGAGATTTCGAGAATCTCTATTGCGCTGGTCTTTGATGAAAGGTTGGTTTTGAAGGGATAGATAATTTTAAATTTCTAGCACTCGATTTTTGCATTGATACAAGGTTGACGAAATGTTACTTGACTGGTTTACAAGCACGGGCTCTGTTCACGATCTGCGGGATTATGATCCTGGACCCTTCTTATACCAAGTCTATGACCATTAATCTACTTGCACCGCAAAGAATACACCGAGGCCATAGGGTATGCGTACTGCAAGGGACTCGAACGAGAATACTCTCAAAAATGCTGTTGCTTGCAAAAATGATCGCTCTCTCATGAATAAGAAGTCAACATGTCCCATTCTTAAAACCTCCATCGCAATTTTTTGGTATGCCCAATCTGAGCCATCCTCCCTTGGCTGAATCAGTTTTGTAGTCCCCAATGCCCTATCCCCTCACGCATCACTTGAACAGAATGGAACTTCTCTTAGCTCATGGAACTCCGGCCCTTGAACACGGAGGACAGGTCTCCCACTGGCAGCTGGATCGGAAAGTCGACAATTTCAAACAAAATAGCCACTAGCATGTACCATCCAGCAACACACGTAACAATAAGAGATGCTCCGGCTCCCTTTGATATGCCATCAGTTTAAATACTGAGAAAAGCGAACGAAGAACGAGATCAGGGTTATCATAGACAACTCACCACAAACATCTGGTTTGCCTTTGCCGCGTTCCCTTCAAAATCCTCTGCTTGGAGCCAGAATGCAGCCGTAAGCATGCCAAAGGCCGGCAGCAGACTGAGGAATATGGTAACAAAGACGATATTCGTTCTTAGCGCGCAGGTGAGATAGACAAAGGCTAGTACACCCATGAATACTAGCCAGAAACCTAGTGAAGCGAAGTATAAGTCGTTGGTTAGCTGGCAGATATCCCATCTCTTTAGACCTGAATTCCTGTAACCTACCTAGACTTGCGTTGAATTTCGCATTAGCCAGTCCCGTGGTTGGCTTCTGCGGATCGGTGGCGTAGAAGCTGTAAGCTCCGAAGCTGGGGTTGAGTATCCCTCCAAACGAGAACCAGAATCCACCAAAGCTGCAGAATACAGTTGCTGGGAAGCTGTTTCCGAGAACCCACTCAAAGATCCCGCTGAGGAACATCAAGAGGCCGCCCATGAAAAAGTAGACGGAGCTAGGAATTATCAGCTAAAAGTCCATTATCGCACGTGGCTAGCGTTGACACACATTTGAGCAACACCAAAGTCGCCAGCGCCCCTCCATCCCATCAGATCACACGCGAGTGGCATGAGAGATAGTAGAAACCCGACCAGAGCCCTAAATGTCATCAGTGTTGGGAGCCATGTCAAGAACAGGGGTAATCTGAGATTGGCAGGTGATATTGCCGTACATTGGGGTTGGATTACCAAACGTGCGTCTGAGGTTCCCCTCGACTTTGCTGGGCGGCGAGAGGTACAGTTTTTCGAAAAGCTCAGGGGTCATACTTATGCTCTGCGTAGAGCGAAGCTCCCTGAGTCCTTCAGCTTTCCCAGCCTCAAGGTCGGTGGGGCTCACGCCGTTGGTGACGAATTCATTGTGTGTGACAGACATGGTGAATAAACTATGGTCAAATTGATAGGTCAGGTGATTGGTACTTTGAGTCAATATGAAAGAGCCAACACGGATGTCCTGAGATACTGAGGACAACAATAAATCAGAACGCAGATTCGTTGTATTTGTGCCCGGAACTCGGCCAGACACGGACTGCTAATGCTGGCCGGACCGCCCACGCCAACAAGACAGAACCCCACACGGCATGAATATTCACTGTCAATTTGAAGATCTTTAGTTCCATTTAATCACCGACAAGATCTAGCATTTGCGGGCCTTGCTACTACCCCAGGTTTTTGGGGTAAGTTAATCCAAGGGGTGGAGGTGCGTGGCCACACCCCCTGACCGGTCCGAAGCGGCAGTTGCTGGCAATGACTGCGAGCAGACTTGAAGGTAGTCGAAAAGGGGATACGGTGTACGCGGTAGTTGAGGAGACCAATCGAAGTAGGCCTAGCAGGCCCGGCAGGTTGAATTAGTGGTTCCGAACGGTCCGCGATGTGGTTGTGGGAAGAGTCTTGTATAGCTCCTAGTTAGCCAACTGCCTGGGGTGCTACTATACTTTCTGTCCATTAAAGAAACTATATAAGCTCTTACAAGATGCATGAAGTTTCAGCAAATCTGATATCGGAGTGTTGGTTAAAACAATGTTTACATGTAAATGAATACTAATTTCTCATATGGCGCACCGCTCGTGCGTGACTACCAAACAATGTAAAAAGATTGATTATCAAATAACTAATTAAGCTCATATTATGTATTCCAAGTTAGACATAGAGAATTCAGAGGTAATGAGGTGATCTGCTCCAGTACCAGGGTCCATGAAACCTCCGATCGGCTCGATATCCTCGTTTAAGTCTATGGTTGGAAAACAGTTGGCATCGTCATCGAATAGAGACTGCTGCAATGGCTTTGCACTTGATTTTGGTCCTGCTAAGCTACCACACATGAGACCATAGTCGACAATTGGCCACAGCACTTCTTCCAACCCGGGGTTGAGGTCAGCCGTTGCATTTGCATCCAAGTTGATGGCAGATGCCACGTCACTTGCATCGAATAATAGGAGTTGGATGTGCTGTTTTACATAGAAGTTAGTCATATGAAATTGAATTCGACTGTGCTAGTGGACCAAAAAAGGGTAAGGAAAAGACGTGAAGGAAAGAGAGTGCGAGCAACGGAAGTATTACCATTTTAGAAGCATGTTCCCAAACACGTCCCATCTCCTCGAGTATCATCAGGGCCTGTTGATTCTTTTCCTGAAGTTCGGACGCCATCTGAATACTAGATTGTTCCCCGGATCGGACAGCCATCATGATGATACTTCCTGCCACAGTGGTCGCATACGCGTAGAAAGAAGGCCGGATGGGAAAGCCAGCGGCTGATGCTTTGTGGACAAGCTCGATGGCGTTGCTTGCGTGTTCACAGCTCGTATGCAGGCACTTCCGCAAAAAGTTGGAGGGAACCCTGTAGCTCATTTTCTGGACTCGAAGACGGAGCAGGATGGGGTGATTTAGGAGGCAGTAGCACAAGTGGAAGACGGCAAAAGAAAACACTGCATGCGCCGCATCTTGGTAGTCGAGAGAGCCATCTGGCTTCGTGTGTGCCTGGGCAATATCGCCGACGGACGTGCTCTCGATGCGTAAATGATGACTGACGAGGAGAAGATAGGTGTTGATGGACGCGAACTCGGACCTCTGATCCCAGGGGGCCAGCTCATCAGCGTCCCGCTGGTGCAAGACATATCGAGCGCACCGTCCCAAGGCTGACGCGGCCAGTATGGTCAGAGCAAAGTTGCCGCCAATCCGGTCCGAGTCGGCGGTCCAGTTTGATACTTGATATAAGGTCGCCGTCTTCTGCAAGGACCCTTGGCGAAATGCTTGCTCGTCGCAAGGTAAGCTCAGCCGGCAGTCTTCATCAGAGATGGCCGGCGGCCGGCTCCTCCCACAGGACACGAGCTTGTCGAGAAGATATATAGACCAAAAGGTTCTTCTACGCTCCTCCTGCTCGACAATGGAAAATGTGCCGGAGGGTTCTTCCATCAACTCCAGGTCCTGGGCAATCCGTACGGCGAGGCCAATCTTGAGCCATCCCGAACTGGTTCGCCCGGCTTATCTTCCCAGTCAGTAAAAACTCAACAATTATCCTATCAATGGCTGTATACTGACCTGTGAAATCGATGATGGCTAGTATATTGGTGGTCTGGGCCACGTGCACATTGGGGCAGTTCTCTGCTGTCATGTGGTCATTGAGAACAGAGAGCCAGGCTTCGCGTGCATACGCTTCCGTGGCTTGTTGCTTGGCCCATTTGAAATACGGATTGTCGGAGAACCGGAGTGCTGAGGCCAGGACGGCAAAGATGAGGCATTTCGGCAGTAGACCGTAGGCGAGCTTTTCTCGAAAGCTCTCCTCTTGAAAATACGAATAGGGTTGATTGTAGGCGTGTTGGAAATACGTGTCAACTAGGGACTGCACCACGGAATGTGGTGGCAGCGTTGAGAAGCGCCTGTATCGTGTCAGAGATGCTCCTTTGATCCAACACACAAACAAAATACCACGTACACTGCATCGGGGGAGTCTGAATTTGATTCGGGTTTGTACGTTGCGCCCTGCGATAAACGACGCTGAGGGGACGATGAAGACGCTCGCCGAGGACCTGGTACCACATTTATGCTTCGGTTTTCAGAATTGAGGGTCGGGGGAGACTGCGACATTCGGTCAAGGGCCACGTAATTCATGCTGGGACGAAGATTTAGGGTCAGAAGGTTCTTCCATTCGCAACAGAAAGCAGGAGAGTGGTTTGTAACAGACCTTGAGTTGGCTGATCCTTGGTCACTTAGCAAGGCTAGCTGGCTCTCAATTTGATTAATTCTCTTGAGTAACTCAGGCTAATGATTGTCAGTTGGTGGAAGCCCGAACATGGTCTGTCTGTGAATGGGGCAATGAGCTAACATGCAACTCCGAACTGGGCAGCTTTGCTGAAGCGAATGCAGTACCCTGTGATGTACTAGAGGTCGATGAAGGCTGAGTATGTGAGTACGGCTCGTAGTGACAATTGCGACCGACGCGTTGGCAATTCTTGCATCTCGGTTTCTCCCCAGAACATTTCGTCTTGCGATGGCTGGATGTGCCCTTCGTTAGCTACGCATTGGCTGCTGCCAAACCCAGCACGCGATTCCTGGATTGCCTGGCTATTGGCCGAGATGTACGTGATACTAAGGACTTCACTTACCGGCAATGTGTGCAGGCTTGTCGTATGCGACGGATTGCCCCCGACATGCTTCCTCTGCGCGCGCTCGACTCGGTCCATTCACCGGTTGGCGAGGCCGTCCTTACATGGACCTCGCCCTGGGGGCTGGTGGCCATCATGATTACAAGATGAGATCAATGATCCCACCAAGCGCTTCAAAGCAAAAGATTGATCACTTTTTGTGCCGTGATCGAAGAGTGTCTAGGGAGTGCTCGATGTCTTCGGCTCGAAGTCGCGGGGAAGAAAGTGGGGTTCGGCTTGATTCATGTTGCAAAGTTGGAGCTTGGATAACCGTCCAGGTTGAAATCGATCGAAAGCTGAGCTGGAGAGAGCCAGTCTCTTACCTAAGCTTCTCGCATGGTATGGCATGGCATGGGCGAGCGGATCATGTGGAAGTGGGTGGTGCTTGGTGAGAGGCACTTGACTCAGCCAGGCAAGGTGTGACGACACATTTGATGGGGAAGCGAGGCTAATGAAGACGAAGGAAGCATCGAAATCGGGGTACCCCGTGGGGCTGCGAGCACACTGCCAATCTCTGGTGAGTACGGGAGCACTGCCCCCTCGAATGGAGCTGTTAGCTCGGCCATGCTGCCATGAGCTAGTCCGTAGTTGAATGTTGATGCTGCTGACGGCAACCAGACACCTCCGGGTCCCCCTCGAGCCCCTCAAAGTTGGCAGGCCAGACTAGTCTAACATGGAAAGGCATGGCCTGGTATGGCACTCAAAGCACTGTGTGGAGACTACCTCGGGCCCCTGGATGGTAGGACTCGACCGTGGACGGGCGGTAGAACTTCAGTCCCCGTTCTTCATTTCGAATGATGACATTCCCGGTTCTGCTTGTAGTGGATGGCCATGGCCACGATTTGGCAGCGGTCCGCCCCACGGAACGACCCCCGCACTAAGGTCCTCATACTGCCTTTGCCAACTCTATGATCTGTGGTGTCTGATCATGGTATCTAGATACATATTACGCTGAAGAGGAGCTTCTATACTTGGGTCTCTTTTTTGTCATACATCGAAATCTTATGGAATTTTACCTCATCTCACAATGGCATGTTGCTATATCGCTGCATTCTGCATAGGGCAGTTGGTGAAAGCTTGCCATTTCCTAGATGTCGGCAATGGTATCAAGTACAACGAAGAAAAGGAAGAGTCGGGGATCGATTTACCTTCGAAACCGTTGCAAGGAAAGACAGAAACAGCCGGAAGCTCTCCGTCGTCACTTGTCCTCTCACTCGGGGGGCTCACCTGCTCCGCCTGCACTCAAGCCGTCGAGGATGCATTGGCAGCAGTTCCTGGAGTCAGCAAAGTCAGGGTTTCATTAACCCTTCAACAAGCGGTTGTCATTGCGACAGAGAATACGGCGCTCGACGACGAGCTGATGCTTTGCACGGTTCGCGACATTGGCTATGAAGCCCAGGCTGGACCTAGATCTCCCCAAAAAATGATCGAGCATCTCCAATACCGAGAATCCACGGATCGTCTCGGTTCCACATTCTCTCACCTAGGCCGTTGTGCTACGATCCTTCAGGTGTTGTCGCTGTTGATATACCTTATACCAGGTCAATTTGCTCCTTTTCGAGGTTTGAAATGGTGTCTTCACATGGCATCCATAGCTGTCATGCTGTATGTGCAGTGTAGTCCAGTTGCCTGGATCCATAAGCATGGATGGACATGGCTGCGCGGAGGGCGATTGAATATGAATACGTTGACTTCCTTATCGATGAGTCTCGCTTCCCTTCTACCACTTCTGGACTGGCTAGTTACGGGTCGGCTCAACTCGAGCTCCTTTTACCCCATGGCGACCGGCCTCGGCCTCGTGGTAGTGGCTGGCAAGTACGTGGACAGCTTGTCCCGGCGATCTGCGGCTCAGGATCTTGTTCGTGTTTACAAGCCCATCCTTGATGCGGATTTTATTACACTTCATCCAGGCTTGGAGGTGAGTAAACTCGTTTCCGTTATCATGAAAGGGAAAAAAGATTGACTTGATATTAACCAATCGCTCAGAAAGTGCCGGCTTCATATCTGAGGAGAGGTGATAAAATTGTTGTGGAAGCTCATACAACCATTCCATGCGATTGCTACGTCCTAGAAGGTTCTTCGCTCATCGGGCAGGCTATTGTAACAGGAGAGTCTCTTCCTGCAAGGAAGACTACCGGAGATTTTCTTCTAGGAGGGACGAGGAACCTCAGCAGTCGATTGGTTTGCGCTGTTCAGAGAGAGAAAAGCGACTCTTTCTACACTAAGCTTGTGCAGAGCGCGGTAGAGTCAAGCTCGACAACTTCCAACGACCATGAGTTTATCGACACCATTACGAGACATTTCGTCGCGGTTGTGATGGGTCTGTCCTTCTTCGCGCCCTTTTATAGTTTGTATCCTCTCATCGGCAAAGTTCCTCCGTACCAGATCGTTCATGATTGGATCTCACATACAATCACAATCCTCACTTGCGCGTGCCCATGCGCCATCAGCCTAGCAATTCCCTCAGCCGTAGTTGCTGCTATCGGTACGTAATGAAAGCTACCATCTATTCATTTGAAATAAACTGGTAGCCTAACCTGCCACTTTCAGTCACGGCATGTGGGCAAGGAATCATCATCACCGGTGGCATAAACACACTTGAGAAGTTGGAAAAGTCAAAGACCGTTGTCTTTGATAAGACGGGCACACTTACGCATGCGAAGCTCGATGTCGAAGATCTCGACCTTGTCCCAGAGTGGGAGATGGACAAGGACATGATCTGGGAATATGTCTGCACCATCGAAAGCCAAGCGATCGATGATCATCCCATCGCCAGGGCAATCCTCGGTGCTGGGCTTCGGGAGCTTGGTGTCAGATGGGCAGAAAGGCAGGGCCTTCGCAACAGCCGTAATATTGTATCCGACTCGGGAAAAGGAGTCAAGGGCGAGGTTCAACTAGAAAACCAACCCTGGCGTCACATTGCTGTTGGGAGCCACCGGTATTTCAAAGAGATGGACATCACTGGAACGCCGGAGAGTATCCCAGACGGCACAAACGGCAGGATCGTTGTGCTTTTGGCGGTCGATGAAAAGTACGCTGCCTCATTTTTTGTCGCGGTAAGAACCAGAAACTCTGTCCACCCAAGTCCAGCTAAGCTCACCCAAGGTTTAGGACGCTATCAAGGAAGACGCACCGGGTGTAGTGAAACAGTTGATGCAGGCTGGTTACCAGTGCGGCATGGTACGTGTTTTCGTCGACGCAAAGATTATACAAGTCTCCAGCATGCTAACTTTGCATTACTACTGTAGCTCACAGGAGATACGCAGGAGTCCGCTGAGCGTGTCTCGCAACAACTGGGACTTCCCATAATACAATCCAGTGCACTACCTGACGAAAAACAAAAACATATTCAATCCCTCCAGGACTCTGACAATATAGTAACTATGGTGAGGCTTATCCAAGGCGACTTCACTGCAAATAAGCTAGGGATTAACAAAAAGACAGGTCGGGGATGGTCTCAACGATGCTCCCTCTCTCGCCGCAGCGGGTGTTGGCGTCGGCCTACAGAAAGACTCAACTAGTGCCATTGCCGGTGGTGCAGTTGTCATAGTCAACACTCGACTCGGATCCCTAATCGACCTTTTCAAGATTGCGAGGATGACCATGGACCAGGTCCGGTTCAACCTCTACTGGATTTTGGCTTATAATGTTTTCACATTGAGTCTGGCTATGAAGCTCTTCAACCCTTTCAACATTTCTTTGACCCCGTATGTGATCATAAACCCAGGAAGCATTGTGTGAGATAGATTCTCGAGATACTGACTGAGAGAAAACCAGTTCCCTCGCCGCGTTACTCATGTCAATATCATCCGTCTTCTTGACCATGCAGAGTTTTTGGCTCCGGAAGCGACTAGAAAGAATCACGAAAGTTATCAGCAACTAGTAAAAATGGATAACATTATCATGCCAGAGGTGGTCATAGCCATCTATCAAAGAGGCATTGAAGAACATGTGCGTATTTAATCGTGGTCGGCCTTACTTAGATCTCTTTGTTTGGGAATACAGGAAACTGGAGGAGTAGGAGAGCTCATTTAATACGAAGCAACTGTGTCTTTTCATCAAAGTTTCACGGATTTCATAATACAGGTAGTGGGGTTATTTAAGCACGGAGCGACAACACGTGGAAGACTGTCCAAAACATCCCTAAACTAACCCCCTTTCAAGGCCACAGAACACGCATTCCAGCGCTGAAAATGTAACATCGTGCGATTATTTAATTTTCAAGGAATTCTACATAGAGTTTCCAAATTGCGAAAGGCATCAAGCTCTTAGAGCGGGTCACCCATCCACCGCTCAGTAATTTGTCGCCCAGGAAACAATCCCTCAACGTCGGCCATGTTGCATGTAGCTATAGCTTTTGATGTTGTCGACCCACTGATATCAAACTCCCAGAGAGCAGATTCAGAGATAGATTCAGGAAGCGTACCATTTTTCTCAGAAAATCGCTCCCTCTCAACTTGACTGCAGTGACTGGCGCTGGGAGAGGAAGGAGATGGCCGAAAGTGTCGTGAGTAGCTCGGGACAAAGTACGCCTCCTGCATCAGTTCAATGACGCGCGCACACTGGTCGTGCTTGGTCTGGGCCACTGTGTCAAGCTTGTCTGGCCTCTTCAGGTGGACTTCGGACGCAGACATTGCGAAATGCATCGCTCCGGGATGGAGACAGAGCCCCAGGCGGTGGGCTTCAATGCTTTCCATGATGAGTGAAATACGCCCTGCAGCATGATTCATCAGTAGCTCACATGCTTCCGTCTCATATGATGTTCCGATGTCGTGTTCTGGTGACAGTCCAAGTCGTGATTGGTACGCATTGAGCATCGCCATGTTGAACGCCAGGTGTAGAAATGAACGATTGAGCGCCACTGCTGCATTCCCATTTATTCCCAACTCATTCTGCATTATACGACGGTATCGTGCTCTCAATGGCAAGGCACTATACCATTCAGAGAGATGATGTTCGAGTCGTTGGAATGGCCAATTGGTGTTGGGTGGTCCCTCGATGGCCCAATCTACGCCTTGCCAGGTGCAGCACGAGCTGGGGGCCAAGAATCCGTTTGTATCCAGGAGCCTACAAAGACGGGTTTGCTCGGTGAATAACAGTGCCAAGTCCAAATTTTCCTGATCACTCCCATTACACGAGCATACTGTGCTGTGAGCCGCAGCATCACTGCCCACATGTCGGAATGGCTCAAAATCAGAAATATCAGGCATTGAAACATTGAAATCGTTCTCCGAAATCATACTGGTTCGGCCTGTTCCCAAGCTGACTAGACGGTCAAGATTGTAACAGCACCACCAAAGGCGTCGGCGGATTCTCAAGGTCTGTATAGGCAGTGCTAACCCGAGCATTTTCGGGTCATGATGGAGTTTACTGGAAAAGGCCTGCGAGATGGCTGCATCGAGCCAATAAAAGCTGCTTCGGCGCCCGACTGGCTCTTCATAAGCCAGGGACATGAGCAGCAAGACCTGTATAACGGTTTGCTGGTCGAGTTCGCAGTTGAAATCATAGAGTAGCTTGGTTACGTTAGCGGGCCCGTCTTCAAGATTCATGACGCCGAGAAGTAGACTCACCTTCACTTTCTCCAAGAATATCTTGCGAGCACTCTTTCTAGTTTGGAACCCCGCTTCTTTAAGGTCTTCGATTTTTACACAGGCTGTCCCAGCCGCGAGAATGGATTGGTAGAGAAGCAAACTGACTCGGGGTGCAACGTGATCAGTTGCCGTGATGCATTCCAGAAAGTGAGAAAGATCGATAACCGGGATGTGCGGGTAAATGCTGTCCACGTATGCGCGTACAAGTGCCAATTGAAGAGCCTGGCTCGGGAGGGACACTGCCCCTTTCGAGAGTAAGAATCCCAGGTCATCCGTATTGATACCCCGATGCAGGGGCCTGATGAACCACGGCAACGACATTACCGGAGAGAACGGGTCCAACACCGGGCCTTGATCCAAGGGCCACTGTTTCGGCAAACATTGTTTGTTTGATTTCGAGCATGGCCCAGATTCTGCGGCTCCTCCCGAGTTCGAACCAGGACTGTGAGAACTCAAGCTTTGCGAATATGGAGAATCTCCTCCTGCGTGGTAGCCCTTGCACGGAGATTGCTCCCACTGCTCGTCCTCTGCCACATTGTAAAGATCGTAAAGGCGGAATGTGCTACTTCTAAGCTTCTAGTCAGTAAAGTCGTCTTGGACCGCTAGACAAGGTGGGGGCAGTTAATGGTATCGAAATGGGCGGTACATACTTGCGTGGGCGGCGGTCCCTCACAATGCAGGCTCGATCAGTCCATTCGCAGTTACCACATGGCCATCTTCGTGTCACATCACACCGGACTTTGCGAGATCTGCATCCAAGACAAGCTCGGGGTGCTCTCCCCGAGACCGGTTTCGCGAATGGTCCAGTCCGATAACTATCGGGCTTTTGAGCTAGAGTTGAAGTTGGTGTTGTGGAGAATACAAGGCTGGGACTGGGACAGTCGACACCCAAGGATTCTGGTGTTGGGAGAGCACAGCCGTCACTCTCGGCAAGGCAGCCTTCGCTTGCAGTGATATGGTCGGGACAGTTGCTCACCATATCGACAGCACTCCATAGAAGCTCTCTCTAGATACAAGAGCAGTAATTAAACCAGCCTGGATCAAGGTCTTTAAACAAAGTATGGCTCTCTATTGGTACGATGGTAGGACACGGTATACCGCGGAGTTGCTTTCGAGCTTGGACGCCAAATCAATACGGCATAACCATTACATCACTTGACATATTTCCTGTGGAATTGAACAAGGTTAGGGACCCCGATATCTTCCTAAATGGCAACAAGGAATGGTAGGCAAAGTACTAGTGTACCATGGTTTCATTATTCACTCACCCGTTGCTGGGAACATACGGTCCGATCGGACCGACGCTAGGGATCGAGGCCAGATGTTCGCCATTTCAATGAGAGATGAGTCCGGATGGCATTGATTTGTGAAAGTAATATTTTGTAGCTCTGATTTATTATGAAAGGAGAGCATTTTGGGTAAGCACAAATGAAAGCTACATGATTTGAACATCACACACAATCCGGCATCATCATCTCTAACTTAGGAGAACAGATGTCTATTCTGGAGACACACCACTTCCTATAGATTTTGACTACCATATATAATTGATTCCTGCACTGCTAGCCGACCCTTGATCAGATTCTTTACCCTCATGCTCGAATTTGTTAGAATGTCGGGTAGCCTAAGGCAGTCGAGAGCGTATCACATCAAAGGGCCATCAATGAAATCATTCTATAAGTTGTCTCAAGAACACAGCCACGTTGTGCTGCAGACCCTACGGTACACTCTACACTACCCGGCAAAGCACCTTCTCTTCCGCTACTGCATCACCAACCTTCCATGACGTCTCAAAGTGGCCGTCCACGCTGGCTCTCAAGCTCACTTCCATTTTCATACTCTCAATCACCATTATGGTTTCCCCTTTCTTGACCTCCTCGCCTTGTGACTTCGGAATGGACAGCACTTTGCACGGCATTGGAGCTTTGATATGTCCCTGTGCAGCGCTCTGATCTTCTACCGAGGTACGATAGCCTTCCATGTATGAGAGCAAGGTATCCTTTTGAAACCGTACAAACGTCCCAAGAACTGGAAAGTGGCAGAGAATAAACCTCGAATGCCCTTTTGCTTGTTCACTGCTCTCTGACGCTTCAGGCTCGATACAATATGCCACCACTTTGGTTCCGTGAAGTGACACTTCCAAGATACCTGGAGCAGGGCCCTGGCCATTTGCACCAGGGGGGTTCCAGCTCAAGACTTTGACAATTATCGGTTGAGGAAAATTGGAAGACGCTTGTCGAACATAGTTGCTGATCCGGTTATACACAACTGCCATCTGCTTCGTGCTCGAAGCGGAAGTGGCGCTGTCTTCTACTGCCTCCGAATCTCTCTCCGACGCTGAGTTGAGGATGTGAGCAAAAGGTATCACTGCAGCCTCGTATTCTTTCGCCTTGGTGCTTTTATGCGCCACCATCTTCCAAAGTAACAAGTTCGATTGAGGTGCTGGAATGTCTGGGGAGGCCCCCAAGCCTTGCCAATCAGTGGTTACAACATCACATTGAATACTTCCGGGGTCGAAGCGTTGATTGCGGAAACGGGAGCGCACATTCTGAAACGGCCGCTCAACGTGGGAGCCTCTCTCTTTCTCACCGGCTTGGAGACGCATGAACAGGCACGGGACGACTATGAGTTCTTCCCTAAAACGTTGTTGCTTTTCGGTGAGGGGTGGACGAAGAAGCTGAGACAGATTTTGTGGGATGAAGGACGTATTGTATCTCAGGTCTCGGAACTTCGGGTGGAGCAGACACCGTTGGAGGAAGAGCTGGTTTGTTCTCACACCCATACAGAGTGTGTTAGCCAAGAGGTCGGCCATAGTTTGTATAGCGAGGTCTCTCGTCGGGGCCCAGACAACTAATTTGGCTATCATGGAGTCGAAATAAATGGATATTGAGGAGCCTGACTGGATGGTTGTCTCATACCTGACGTCTCTGCTTGGGCCCAGCAATCCCCCCGCTGGTTTCCAGAGAGAGATCAGGCCATTCTCGGGGAAGAAGTCCTTGTCAGGACTCTCGGCACACAACCGGCACTCTATCGCGTGGCCGCTTTGCGTGAGTTGCCTCGTAGCTGAGAGCGAGCCCAAGTCTCCTCCGCATGCAACGTAGAGCTGGACCGACACAAGGTCTACTCCTGTGACCTCTTCTGTGATTGGATGCTCTACTTGCAGCCTCGTGTTGACCTCGAGAAAGAAATACTGAGACGTTTCAACATCTACCACAAACTCGACGGTGCCGGCATTTTCATACCCGATCAACTTGGCAATGCGCGTCGCCGTCTCTCCCATACTGGAGCGAAGCTCGTCACTCAGGAAGGGGCAGGGGCTCTCCTCAATGACCTTCTGATGCCGACGCTGTACAGAGCAGTCTCTCTCAAAAAAGCTCAGGACATTCCCATGCTTATCACCAACAATCTGTATCTCCACGTGCTTGCTGCTCTCAATGTACTTCTCCAATATGACATCGGTCGATCCGAAAGATCTCGCCGCCTCAGACTGAACCCTTGCGAGTTCCTCGCTGAGCTGCGATGCTTGGCGAACGATTCGCATACCCTTGCCCCCTCCCCCCGCCGAGGCCTTGAGCATGATTGGATATCCAATGTCTGCGGCGGCCTTCTCGAGGTCATGTACTTGTGTGCTAGAGCCCGAGAAACCCGGGATCAAGGGTACATCTGGCGCTTTGTCACCGAGGTATTGCTTGGAGCTCCGCTTGTCGCCCAGTGTTGACATGGCACCAGCACTTGGTCCGATGAATATGAGCCCAGCATTTCCGACGCGCTCAGCAAAATCAGCGTTCTCGCTCAGGTAGCCATATCCTGGGTGAATGGCTTGCGCACCAGAGCCCAATGCCGTCTTGACGAGCAGATCCATGTTGAGGAACGGATTGGTCGTGTGGCTCTCCATACTGCCCAGTAGTATCGCTTCATCCGCCTCGGACACGTGTCTGGACATTTCATCTCTATAGTGGTGTGTTAGTCCAACCATCGCTGCTCTGGAATTGTGGTTGCTCTCACTCTGTCACGTAGATGACCACGGTGCGAACTTGGAGCTTTCTGCAGGTGGATATGACACGACAGGCAATTTCTCCCCGGTTGGCAATGAATAGCTTCCGTATATACGGAGCACCGGTGGCAGGGTCGAGTGGGATAGGTGCCACCGCAAGAGGTGGCCGTTGTGGCAGCTGTCCATCCTGTGTGCGATCCATTTCCGGTCAAGGTTATGGAAGATCAACAAACTCCTAACCTCTATGAATGACGAAATACAAGGAGATCTAAACAAGCTCAAACAATAATACTAGCCGAGATATTCTTAATATGTTTACAGCAGTGTCTATGCTTTCCCGGTGGCATGGCAGGGGTTTCTTGATTTACCCCGTGGAGCCAGAGACCCGCCCATCGGTCCGCTGCAACAACCGAGCCGGACCGGGCAGCGGCACATTCTCCAAACATGATACTTGTAGGCGATTAATATGCATTAATTTCAGAGCATGAGCCGTGGCCGATTTTCTTCTGTGGTCGAAGGGCGTGATTTTCAATGGTTGAGTTAGGCTTCATCCTCTCCGAGCCTTGCACTCGAGCGAGAAATAACAATACAAGTATCTAGTTTTTGACGTTGACTTCTTAAAGAATAATTGATTACTTAGGCTTCTAAACGATAACAAATTATTTATACGACAAGTTTCATGCTCGTTTACTAGATTCAGATCTTATACTTGATAAAAATAAGTATACATAGGTACATGTATAACGACCTGTAGCTCAATTCAAACAAGGAAAGCTATCCGAGACCTTGACACTTTAGATTCGTGCCAAAAACCGGCTCCCATGCGCACGAGAATCATTTGTCGAGCCGACAATCTCCAAACACATACCTAAGATGTCACGAGTATCACGAGGGTCGATGATACCGTCATCTATGAGCATACTGCTTGTCGCATAGCTTTCGGAATCCTTCCGCGCCTGGTTTTTGAAAGCGTTCACCTTCTCGTTTGTCTGTTCTTCGTTCAAAGATTTGCCTCGCTCAATCTGTTCCATGACACCAGCGAGCTGATCAGGCCCCATTACGCCGCACTTCCCAATCGGCCAGGTGAACAGAAATCGAGGCTTGTATGACCTGCCGCACATGGCGTAGTTGCCAGCACCGTAGGACGCACCGAGAATGATGGAAATGTGAGGGACCTGTGAGCAAGACACAGCCGAGACGAGCTGCGCGCCAAACTTGATGATGCTCGAGCGTTCGGCTTTGGTGCCGACCATGAAGCCTGTCACGTTGTGCAGGAAGATGATGGGAGTTTGCCTACACGAATACAAGTTAGAAGTAGAGAAAAGTGGAAGACATTGCCAATAACGGACTCTTGATTACACAGACGAATGAACTGTGCTGCTTTGGTCGCTTCATTGGAATTGATGATTGAAATCTGATTTGCCACAATCCCAACACGAATCCCTGTAGAGAAATGAGTACTTTGCCATTGAGTTTTGTGGTTGAAGTCTGTTACAAACCCATAATGTAAGCCCAGCAGGTCAGCATGTTTACGCCATATTTAGGTTTGAAGATAGATAGCCTTGATTCGTCTACAAGACGAAGAACAACTTCCTTCGTGTCAAAAGGCTTTCGTATGTCGGGGTTGACCAGAGAAAGGACATCTTCAATGGGATATCGTGGGGCCAGGGGGTCTTTGAGGCGAAGCGTACTGGGTCGAGTTTTGAGCGTGCTTGCCCATTCTCGTGCCTTCTGGATTGCATCAAACCTGCAGTTCTCGGTCAGCTAAGCAGGGAGGACCCTCGGGGAACAAATACCTACTCGTCGGTTGCTATCTGGTCAGCAAGGCCAGTGAGTGTGGCATGCACGTGTGCACCACCCAACTCTTCGGCGTTGACCACTTCTCCGGTGGCCATCTTCACCAATGGCGGGCCACCAAGGAAGGCCTGAGCTTGGTTTTCTACAAAAATGGTATAATCGGACAGCGCAGGATGGTACGCTCCTCCAGCCGTCGAGGACCCGAATACAACGGCACATGATGGTTTGCCATTCAACGTCCGTACAGCAAGGTCATGAAAAAGCTGACCGCCTTTGTGGAAGACACGGAACTGCTGCGGAAGGAATACTCCTGCCTAGATGAAAGATGAGCAAAGCCTTTGATCAGTCGGGATTGTGGACGCGGGGAGGCAGGCCTACGGATTGAACCAGAGATATCAGAGGCAAATCGTTATCGGATGCGATCTCAAGTATGCGGTTTACTTTGAGAACTGGTCAAGCGGTTCAGTGGACAATACTGGCAATTTGGCATTGTTGGTGGCTCACCTGTCATCTCATTCCACGCTCCACCCTTTTGTGTTGGTATGTGCGACATAATCAAGCAACGCTGTCCACTACATCTTGTCAGCCACAAGGCAGATATTCTTAGAGCCCCCAGACACTCATACATACCTCACACTGCCTACCCCAGCAATCAGGTTGGCGCAAGGCGTGGAGTCGGCATTTCCGAACCCAGCGAAAGCACATAGCTCTAGGAAAGGCGAGTGGTCGTCTAAGAGTAGGGAGATCCGATCGCGGGCTGGGTGGACGAGCAGTTAGTTTCTCTCTGATTCAACCTTGTTTTACGCCCGGTGTCGGCAAATGATCCCAGGTTACTAACGAAGGAGTTGGCCCCTGCCCTGGTGCCGGTCAATGGAGGTTTGATTGCCTTCATCACTAACAGTTTTGAGGGCCTGGTCTAGTTTTTCTAGGACTGGCTCCCAATTCTTTTCGTTCTCTTGGAACTCAGCCTCACGAAGATCCAATTTCGCTTGTTGGACTGGGAAGGAGTTCGACATGGTGCTTGCAGGAGAGGTATCGCTGGTGATGCGTGGGTAAAGTTAGGTTGGTGTTTAGAGAAACTCTTCTAAACAACGTAAATGGTACAGAAAATATCAGAGATCCGTATGCATTAACCTCGGGCCCAGTCGTTACCGTCGATTGGGTTGGACAACCGCTGGTCGGTAAGACGAGGAGGTTCGGCATCGGACCGTAAAAGACCCACCTCGGTCCGCGTACAAAAACTGCCGCCAATAATGTCCTTCTCTTCATGTTGAGAGTAGACATGGTAGATTTAGGGATCACAGCAAGTCCAAGAAATTGTATGTCTAGATAAATTACCGAATCATTAATACCTCTCTAGATGCATTGCGATTTTTTTTTGTGCCCTCCAAATGGACCCGAAAGTAACTATCGTCGAAGTTGGTCCTCGCGACGGGCTACAAAACATCAAAAATCAGGTACCTACAGAGGTTAAAACTGAACTCATACGAAAGCTCTACGACTCTGGTCTGCGAACCATAGAGGTCACGTCGGTTGTCTCTCCCAAGGCTGTCCCACAGCTGAGAGACTGCCATGAGGTCCTTCAAAGCAAAACCATCAAGCAACTGACCCAGCATTCCGTTCGGTTACCAGTCTTGGTCCCAAACATTAAAGGTGTTACGATTGCGCATGGCTATGGTGTCTCCGAGGTGGCAGTCTTTCTCAGCGCTTCCGAAGGGTTCAGCAGAGCAAACATCAATTGCACCGTAGACCAGGGGATCGCAAGAGCTCGAGAGGTCGCTTCAGAAGCCAAGAAACTCGGCATGATCGTCAGAGGGTATGTATCTTATTTAGGCAGTTTAAAAATGGCACTGGCATGCTAATCGTGTGCAAAAGATATGTTTCCTGCATATTCGCTGATCCTTTCGACGGGCCGACCCCTGAATCTGCCGTTTTGAGAGTTGTGAAAGAGTTGTTAAGCATGGGCTGTTACCAAGTCAGTCTTGGCGACACACTCGGAGTTGGATCTCCATCCGATGTTCGCAAACTTATCCAGACCCTCGGCGAGAATGACGTCCCCCTCCGTCAGTTGGCTGGTCATTTCCATGACACCTACGGCCAAGCACTTGCAAACGTCTGGGAAGCATATCAATGCGGTATCCGAGTATTTGATAGCAGTGTCGCTGGTCTCGGGGGATGTCCCTTTGCGCCAGGAGCTACGGGGAACATTGCGACTGAAGACTTGGTCTACATGTTTAACCGTGCCCGCGTTGCGACTGGTGTTGATTTGCAAAAGCTAGTCGCAACAGGGCGATGGATATGCAGCAAATTGGGGATTCCATCAGCAAGCCGTGCTTCAGCAGCTATATCAGCCAAAGGTCAAAAGGCCGTTGCTCCACGACACGGCCATAGCACTAATAATCATGCCACCGACTTGGAGTGGAAAGAGGCATCGAAGTCGGAAGGTTTAATAACACATCGAGCTGGTGCCAACCTCAGAATCACCATGAACCGTCCTAGAAATGGCAATGCATTGACCACCAAGATGATTGAGGACCTGGTCTCGATCTTCTCTTCGGCAGCCAATGACTCGACGATTAGTCGAATTGCTATTATCGGGAATGGTAAATACTTTTGCACCGGCATGGATCTCGGCAAAAGCACCACCCCAGTCGGCACTGACGAAACATCGGCCAACGAGCAGTACGAAAGACTTCACCGTCTTTTCGAGACGATTGACCAATCCCCCAAAGTTACTATATGCTGTCTGAATGGCCCTGCTTTCGGCGGGGGCGTAGGGCTAGCATTCGCATGTGACCTGCGGCTTGCCACAAAGGATGCCAGCGTTATGTTGAGTGAGGCAAGGCTGGGGCTATGTCCCGCGACCATTTCCAAGTATGTGATTCGAGAACTTGGCGTGCCGTTTGCCAGGGAGGCAATGCTGTCTGCGCGTCGCATCCCTGCCAAGGAGCTGGAGACCAAGGGCATCATCAAGACCGTTGCCAATGACGTAGCTCAATTACAGTCAGCCCTGGATAGCCTTGTCGCAGAACTGAGATTTGTGTCCTCGGACGCTTTGAAGATGTGCAAAGAGCTTGTTCGTGTGAGCTGGAGCCATGGGGGACAACCGACTCAGGAGACAGCCATTAAGCATATATTTGAACATATGATGAAGCCTGATAGCGCAGGGTCTTATGGGGTGAAAGAATTTCAAGCTGGACGAAAAGTAGACTGGGACTTGTATCAACGGGGTAAAGCTCAAAGCAAGCTGTAGATGGAGCTGATTTATTCTCAAGAACTTGTGTTTTAAGAGGACTAGCGGATTGAAGGGTCCGAGTAGCTTAACTCACAGTAGAGGACAGCTGGAAGATGCCAGACCCGACATCTCAACACAATAAATATTGCTAAATGTATACACCAGCCTTCTATCCATGTGTGTTCTCGTGGCAAGATTAATTTGCAAAAGTATTTAAGATTATACATGCTCCTCCAATGCTACCAATTAAGCCTAACTATTCCTCTGGAAGCATTGAACAAACTCGATCCAGTCCTCATATTTTCGAGCCGCTATATATACAGTTCCAGGGCCTTCGAAATGAAGTATGCGCCCTTCTCCGCTAGCAGAACTGACCAGTCGATTACCTCCCGCCTTGACTAACTTGTAGTTGCAGTTCCAAGCCACTAGGTGACCGCTGTCCACAAAGTGAGTTTGACCAGTTTCAAGCTGTAGATCCATGTTAGTGAATATGCTTTTGTGCAGTGAAAGGGCTAAGTAAACTAGAAAGGAGAGACAGGGAAGCGAAGGAGATATAAAGATGAAAGAAGATGAAAACCGGCAAGAAGAGGGAAAACTGTAAACTTACATCAATTCGATCAACAGCACCTAGGCCTTTTAACCACAAAAGTCCACTGCCGGCGACTTCATAAATATACAAGGGCTCGTCATGAAAGAGTGCATGTCTGAAACTATGTCTCGTGTTTTTCAGGATTACCCCCGTCGTATAAGCAAGGGATGATTGTTTCCGAATCGACCACTTTCTAGTGTCACCAGTGTTATTGATGGAGAGGGTGACAATGTCCCCAATCAATTCAGGCCCAAGTGCTACCGAGCCAGGGCCAATATAGAGCGAACGGCCCTGGTCCTCGCTGCTGAACAAGGACCTGAATGAAGACTTAGACTCGGCGTCCAAGGTAATAGTACCAGACATATGAATCATGGCGCCCATCTCGGAGGCTACTATGGCATTATCTTTCAGGGTTAGAGTGAGGACAGCACTGGCGTCACGGTGGGTGATGGCGTAGCTGCCACCTTCAAATTGTCCGTGATCCTGCGATTGCTGCAGCGGCGGCTTTTCAGACGAGAACATGATAGTGGTCGTTGATGATTTCCAAAATTCACGTTAGATGAGGCAGCAAAAACTATGCCTTGAGACACAGGGGAGAACGGAATGGCCAGTATTTCAAGGACGTCCCCCACCAGGGGAACAAGAAGAACTGCGCCCAACCGCTCAAACATGTTGGTCGACCCAAATCTTGGCAGAGCGACACAATAGTCAGCAGGTAAGCGTAAGCGTATTGTTGTGATTCAGGAAACTTCATGCGAGCTTGGCTGCATCATCATGCCGTGTTGTAACTTTGAGTTGCATTATTCCTCAGCTAGCCCCCAAGGATACATTGCGACTCTACGACTACGGGGGGATCCTAAACACTGCGCTGCAATGTATAATAGTATTTCCATTATCTTATCCCATATTGTAACTTCGAGTTATATTATTCCTCAGTATGGCACTATTAATATGTTATGACTCTAGTGACGTAGGAGGACCTTAAGTACTGCGCTTTAATGTGTGACAGCATCATCTTACCATGTGTTGCAGATTTGGGTTACATTATCCCTCACTTTGGCCCCCATTGATATATTGCCACTCTAGCGGCTGTAGGAGGACCTTTAGTACTCTTGGCATTACTTGAAAGATTCGCGTTGATTGAACCGCAAGTCTGGCGGAGAATCTATGTCTCTAGATGTCCAATCTTTTTTGGCCTGACATAAACAAGCGACATTGGAACTTCCGCTATGGCAAATCGGGGTCCGACGATCACGTCCACTTGACAAAGTCCCATCTCCAATGTCTCAGCCCCGAGTTCGCTTCTCAGCTGGCAGCAAGACTGTGTGTGCCCCAAGATCCTTGGGTGGTGGAGTCGACCGGATGCCAACACTGCCAATTGTCTAAACGCTCCTCTCAGTGAGCACCGGCCTAGGAATGGTTTTTTGCGTCGCTTAACATCGTGAACCAGATGGGATAATCAGTATAAGGGTCTTTAGTGTTGCATTTCCCGAGTATGCACATAGAAACTAGTCAAAACGGTGGATAGAGTCCGAAGGTGGTCCATTCAGCCTTGGGAACTCGCAGAGCAAGCCAGCTATTTTCGACCATCAGCCCTCTCACATCGCGTGATCGATTGAGACGAAGAGGCGGTTGGATGACGATGTGCGTTACATCTTCGGAATGGCTGACATGTGGGCACAGGACCCAGGACGTGAGCGCCTGCGGGCAGCGGAGTTTTGCGTGATGATTCCAGACAGGCATGATCTTACTGAGACAGGATGGTTGGAGATGAGAATCAAATTTTATGTCCTAAAGAAACCAAAATCTTATAATAGCAAAGCACTTCGAATTATTATAAATACAGACCCTTCTCCCAACCCCTCTCTGACCCTTCTCATCATCAATACTAAACAAAAAACCAAGAAACAAATTGCAACACCAAGAGCTGGCCTCTTTTCGCTTCTTTCATCTTACTCCTTACCGTTGATTCCTTGCTGGTCAAGAACACTTTTTTGTCATTTTCATCTTTACACTTCCATCCAATCTCTTCTATCAACCAGAATCTCCCAACTCCTACCCCTACCAACAACCCCTTCGTCATCAAAAATGGTTTCTTTCAAGAAATTGTCCCTTGCCACCACCGCTGCCCTCAGCATTGCTGAGACCGCAGTTGCTGCTCCCCTCGCTCCCAACCGCTATGCTCTTGCAAAACGCCCGAATCTTCTACTCCACAAGTGGCCTCAGATTACCACAAACTCCAGGCCTATGCCTGCCAAAAACCTCAAACGTGCGCCCCATGACATCGAGGAGAGCTTTGAGCAGCGTGACTTTGAGCTCGAAGATGATCTTGCTCAGCGGGATCTTACGGACGAGCTTGAGGAGCGCGAGTTTGAGGATGACGTTTATGAGCGCGACTTCGAGGATGAAATCTATGAGCGCGATCTTCAGCGCCGCCGGTTCAACCTGGGCAAGATTGCAAACATCGGCAGAAAATTGGAGAATGTGGTCAAGGGCGTCGGCCTTGTCAACGGGGTCATGGGCGCTGCTCTGCCCAAGCGTGATCTAGAGATCCGCCTTTCCCGAGCTAAACCTTTAACCTCTGCAGGCCCAGGCAAGAGTCATGGTAGAGTCGGTCTCGCTCTCGATGCCGGAAACCAGTTTGCCACCCTAGCTGGTAACATTAGAGGTGTCGTTGCAGCCATAAAGAAGAAGAAGGAAGACAAGAAAGCACAGGGTGCACAGAAGGGCAAGCGCGCTTTCGAGGAGCTCGAGGAGCGTGCTTTTGAGGAAGAGCTTGAGAGGCGTGCCTTTGAGGACTTGGTCAGGGAGCTTTACTTTTGATAACTTGCTTGAGAAGTCCAATAGGGGGGTTGCTGAACGGTTTTGGTCTTTGTCCCCTAGATAGAAGCCCAGGAGTGTGATGATGAAAATATTCTTTGTTTCTTAAGTCCAGGTAACACTGAACTAAATCGCGAGTGATTAATTGTTACTAAGTACGTAGAGATACCAGCGTTAAGTTGGCCAAGCCCAGAAAGTGAGACTATTTTGGTAAATGTAACTATTACCCTGGAATTCGATACTTAGTATAGAGTTGCTATCGCATCGAGAATTGTTAAGGCCACATTCTCAACGTTTTCAATAGCAAAGCTAGTTGCGGACTTGTCCACTTCCTGGTAAGTCATCAAGTCAACTCCCTAGACCTGTGAGCCTACCTTGGAGCTGAAAACAAACCAATCATGACAAGAGAAACGATTCTATTAAACAGTAACAGCTGACTACTATTGCTAGAATAATGTTTAAGTGTTCTCAATCCCTAATTTTCCTGGATACCGAAAGGATCAACATTTGGGTCGAGATGCCGATTATATTCCATCCATACGGCAATGTCCTGTGCAATCTTGCCACCGTAAGTAGCTTCAACAAAAGCAAACACGAGATCAATGCCCGAGGATACTCCAGAAGAGGTCCAAATGTTGCCATCCACGACCCATCGAGCGCTCGGCACCCAACTAACTTGGGGGCGCCATGGCGGAATAACCTTCCAGGCTCCCTTGTACCCAGTTGCCTTCTTGCCATCCAGTAAGCCGGTCAAAGAGGTGATCCCAGAGCCAGTGCAGACAGTAAGAAGATACTGGAGCTTAGGGTATTGCTTGAGGATGAATTGAATCACTGGGTTGAGAATCGTGAGATTGGGCTTGCCGGCGTCATTAGGGTCGAAACAGCCCATCCCGCCCGGAATAATAAGCACATCAAACTGCGGAGCAGTCTCAAAGGTGTGATCAGGTATGAGGACCTGAGAAGTCGCAAATGGCTTCATTCCCATATTTTCTGGGAAACATTTAGGAGAAGTCGATTGAGGCTGTAGAGTCTCGGCAACAAGAGACAGGGAGATGCCGTCGACATGAGTTGAAAGAAGGTTTAGGACGTCAAGAGGACCTGCAACATCAAGCAGCTGAAAGCCTTCATAGAGGACCATTCCATATTTCTTGGGTGTTGGAGCCATGTTGAGTTAGAGAAGAATACGCGACAAGTTGATTGCGAATTGTAGGTTTAAGCGGCCGTTATGTGCATGCACTCAAAAGAAGCCTTTAGACTTTGAAAACAAACCCGGTATATTAATAATAAAGCTGCGGTAAGGTCAATTTCCCATATCATACTGTCATTTACCCAATATAGGTAAGGTACTTTAGGTAAGGTACTTTAGAATCTCGATTGCCAAGCGTACGTCTATCTGGCTAAGCCCTACCACATCCCTAACCCCGTCGTTGATCTCCTGGGGAGGGTATTATATTTGCGGACCCGCACCACGCGGATGCTTCAATGGTAGTTCTACCTGCCTATATTCTTCAGGATTTAGTTTCATCGAGCGGAACCGCGACGGAGCCGCAACCACTCGGCGAGATGGGGTTCCTTAGGTGCATCACTAGTTTCGTTGTCACGGTCCAGGGGAGCACACATAACAATTGGGACTAGCATGCATGTTGATGAGTGTCTTAATGGGCTGATGCGTGCATGGGACCATGTTGCTGAAAAGCAATGCAGTCACGGGTGGTAACTGATATGACGCGTTAGCCGTGCTGACGGCGTTGTGGGGGGACAAAATAGAATCAGCAAAATCAAAGACCTGCGTATATTTAATTATATAAAAATTGCCTCTGGCTTTTATCTCATACTGAAGGATAGACAGTTTAGTCTTCCACTTGTCAATGCCCTAAGCTGTCCCCTTTGCGGGAAACTCTACGATAATAGCACAATGAGAATAGATAGTTTCGGCGGTAGCTTGATTTCCGTACTGCGTCTCTTGTTAGCCTCGCTCATTGTTTTTCTAAAAAGTAACACTGCTCACCGCCGCATATGCAATCTGCAGCTCTGATTTCGTCACTGGTGTCGTGAGCCATTGCGTTTTCCCATCCAAGTAGCGGCCCCATGACGTGAATATTTCGTTCAAACGTTGATCTTCTGGTAATTCCTGGTAATACTGCTCGATCAAGACGCCGAATGCCTTGCCAGCCACTTGTTTCGTTGGCACTGACGTCTCCCAAAGTTGATGAGCTTCAACGTCGGATTCAGAGGGCTCATTATCTTCCCAATCCTCGAACCAGCGCCATTCATCTTCCAGTTCAATAACAGCTGACACAGTGGGGTTGAGATTAAGTTTCTGAAATACTTCCCAAATCGCTGCGTCAACACCCTTGAGGGTATCCGGAAGCGGCGTCTCTATCGGGTCATTGAATGCGTAAGCGTGCGAGCACCAGAACCCCAATGTGCCGCCTATCATGGGTGTTAGTATTGGCAATTTGCTACCCATTTGATGGCTGATCTCGTGCCCATAGGAGCAACTCACCTTCTCCGCCGAAAGGGTCCTGGCTCAGGGTAGTTGAAACAGCTTGATACAGTGGTAGATGTGTGATATCAAGTGTCTGAGACACGCCAGTCATGCGTCCTGTCCCACGCACTGCGTACAGATTATATGTTAAGGTGAGGCGATGACCACTAGTGACCTCGAGAATCTCGTGTTCACAGTCGCTGTAGAACGCCGCCCAGCGAACAGTCGCATAGTCGGGCTTCTTGCTGCTAGTAGCCCAGTCGTATGTAATCTCCCTGCCCTCATGACGAACCTTGAGTTGGCCACCTTCGTGCTCAAGAGGTAGGCAAACCACTAGGGATCCAAACTGTGATGGAGATCGTGGCGTATCGACGTGTTTCTTAAATTTCCCCGATGGGCTTGTGTAGAGCTAGAAACCTTGTTAACCATGTGCAACAAGCAATGTCTCGCTTCTGGAAAAAAAATCGTCCACACACGTTGAGTTTATAAAGCTCAGCTCGTACAGATCGGTGGGTGGATGAATCAACAATACTCGGTAGAAGAACTTGGGCAATTGTGTCAACAATACCGAGTGAATACGGGTCAAATGTCGAACAGAATGCGGTCGTGTCCATTTTAAGAGCCTTGCGATATGTCTCGTCATAGACATCCTCGCCTCCACGACCAAAAGTGGCTGGCTGAGTGCCATCCAAGAGCCGCTAGATGTCGTGCTCGGATCCCGGAGCGAGCGGAAGGGTGATCTTGTCGCATGCATTATAACGCTGCCCCGTCTCTCCCTCTAGGCCAGCAACGTCCCAGCGAATGGTAATAGGGTCAGAAGTTATGGGCTCATCAATGGTGAGCGGATTGCTTGGCCGACCCCGGGTGGGAGCCCTGCGCTGTTTAGTCGTTTCTGGTTTTTCAACAATTGGGATAGATCCGCCGCAAGTGAATAGGTGGTTTTGGCTCGCCAGGAAATCTCTGAGCTGATCAAGAGGGGGCTTCTCTGGAGGGGGTTGAGGGGAAGGGGGAGCGGTCTCTTCAGTAGCTTCGTTTACTGGCTCTACTGGCTTCGGCTTTGGGCGAGGCTTAAAGAGGAGTCTAGCGACCGGTTTGTCGCCTCGGTCACTTGAGTCGGCCATTTGGTTATTGAACGTTTGTAGCTTGATAAATCGGCTGCTTCGTGTTAATTGGGGGATTGTTGAGAGTGGAAATCAAAAGGAATTCTCTAGATTTACATAGAAAAAGACATTTGGGTTTTATTTTTCAACCTGAATGCACAATTGCGTGAATTTTTGAACGGGAATATATATAGATCCATTTCAATCCCGCTTACTTTTCGTTATTGTACGATTGTAAGGGTTAATGCACACCGCTTCTTCCCTGAATGTAAGACTGATTTGTTCACAGGAGAATATGCTTACAATCATAGCTGTTAACCCACGAGTATCTACAGTATCCTCTATGTCTAAGTTGTCTATTCTATACTCTAAACCTTGATATGGAGTGCCGTGCATTTAGTGCAGAAACAATTCCAAGCCCAGCCGTCAACTAGTGTAACCAATCAATCCAATGGCAAAGAACTGTGTCTTCATTGGGCTTTTGTTAGCCTGATGACTGTATTGCCTCAGACCTCTCCCCCATCTGACATTTCTGCGTCTTCAGGGCAATGCAAAATTTAGATCTTGCTCTGATACGCTCGCCTTTCCAGATAAAGACGAATGGGATGAGGCACATGACACCGCTCAGGCCGCCCAAGAGACTACAGGCGCCGGCGATGCCCAGCCTCCCGAACATTGGGAAGGTAGCAAGGGGAAGGACCACCGCAAGAATAGATCTTGAGCCACTAGAAGCCGCGTTGGCGCTGGCAGAGTAGATTTCGTAGGCATCGGTGAGATAGTTGAGCATTGCTATGAAGATGAGCGTGAACCCACACCCAAACGGAATGCCGGCGAGCATCGGGACGACAAAGGATACATCTTTGCGAGCACTCCACCCGAGCCAGAAGAGTGAAATGGCAAACATTGGGCCACCAGCAATAGCAAGAGGAAGGCGGCAATTCTCTTGTTTATTAGTCCATGGCTCCCCCCTGGCCTTCGAGGATGAGAGGTAGCCATCCCACGAAAAGGCCACGGGTAGCGCCAAGATACACCCTGCCCCAACCGGCAGGAAGCAAAGACCGGTTACTCCCGGGCTCAACCCATACAGATCTCGAAATATAAGCGGAAAGGCCTGGAAAGTCATGTAGAATATAGCATAGCACAATGCTAAATATGCGCACGTACTGGATACGATGAGCTCAGAAACAAGCATATTGATGGGTCTCGTAAGGACGCGAGTAACAAGCTGTTTCAAATCGCGAGGCTCCAGTTCTGCCGCTGAAAATATTTGGGCTGTGGGATCGACCCCCCGAATTTTCTTGGCTCGGCGAGTCAGAAGGGCAGGTCCAAAAGTCTCTGGGACCCAGAGAATTGCTGGTAGGCAAGCGCCTCCATAGATAAGAGCAATCCAGAATGTCCTGTAGGAAGTCGGTCAACTTCTGTGCCTCACCTGGTTCGCCAGCCACTAAAGGATGTAATACTGATAATAGAGTTGGAGGGATCGTGAGGAATATCCTGACTTACCATCGCCAGCCTATTGTCGTCGAACAATACCCCGAGATAACAGGAGCCAGCAAGGGCCCAAAGAGATTTGGCTGTCAAAGATCGGGGTCTTAGTAATAGTTGGCAATTAACCGAAGTTATGATATCCTTACCAACATGAACAGAGCCATTGAAGTTCCCCGTTCTCTTGGGTCATTGTAGATATCACACATGATGCCTACGGTGACAGCAATCGGAGCACCACCGACTGCACCAGCGAGGAAACGAAATATGAGGAATGAGGGCCAGTCAGAAGCCAGTGGAGCGGCCATAGTCCATATCAAGAACAGGATAAATGACGTTATAGTAATGTTACGACGCCCTATGTGTTCGCTCAATGGCCCCCCTGCTGCAATTAGCGGCAAAGAAAGGTAGAATAAAGGAGCAGCATGTACATAGATAACTCACAGATGATTGGCCCAAGCACGTATCCAATCAAATAAACTGAGATAGGTAAGATGGCCTGCTCCTGGGATGTAACACTCCATTCGTGGACAATGTAGGGAATAGCGTTACTGGGAAGCGAGCTGCCCATTGTACTATTGACAAGAAGACACATGGCTGAGACCAAAATCGCCGCCTTTTTTGTCTTGTTTTGTAATAGGGTCAGTTGAAATTCAATACTTTGATACAGTATGCGCCCTCTTACCTTTGAGAAGTTGTAAGGATTCTCAGGGTCGCCATGTTTCCACTTGATGATTGTTCCCATGCATGGCTCGTCCACAAAGCTTTGGTTTGCAATAACACCCAGAGATGTCCCGGGACCCAGCTTCTCATCTTGGCCAGGAGATTGCTTTCTAGATGCCCGTGCTTGATCCTCCATTTGCTGTTTGGCAGGACTCTTTTGGTTCCCGAACTCTACACTGCCCATGGCAATTTGCCAAAGGGTCAGGTATTAATAAGAAGATCCGTGCGTTTTTAGAAAGAAGTAGATTAAAGCGAGGCCAGAATCTTGCGCCGGTTGGACGTTCCCAAGACTAGCCTATGATTTAATGGCATTCGGAAGTGTTCCGGATTTCCGCCCAGCAACAAAGCCTCGAGCAATTCTTGATCCACCAACCGCTATCGTGGACACTTTATTCGCTCCCATAGCAATTCAAAAATCTCCCAAAGATCCTCTTGGGTTCCAGGACACGCACTGAATTCTACACTACTCATGCGAGTGTGAAACTCGTGATAGACTTGCGCGCCCCCAGTGCATGAAAGATCCAGGCAATGTTACTAACTAGGGTTAGATACGAACAATTCAAACCCTAACCTTTAGCTCGTCCCTGCTGCTCGCCTATCGGCCGTGTTTGGTAATAATCTAAACATTGAGCTGCAAGACAAATTGTTCCTATCTGGGGCTCGGAATAATACATCGTCCCGTTCCTTGCAAACGCAAGTGTGCATCTGGCCTGAATGGACGATTCCTCATCTCTCTCTCAGTATCTCATCGATAGCTTTTTTATTTACGCAGAATCCCGCAACTATCAAGCGCTTCTAAGAGCAGCTCATGTTGTGTCCTGGCTCATCAACGACAAACCGTTAATCTACAGGCTCTACAACATGCACAAGATAAGTTGGCCTCTGCACCAGACATCATTGTTATAGTCTATATTTTTAAAGAGACAAACATTTTCTTATTAACCTTCATCTATCCATTTTCTAATAGTCTTATAGTCAACAAGCTGTTATATGCTACAATACTGTTATAGCAAAATGTGGGTGTATGTTAGAAGGCCGGCACGGGATATTCTGCCGGGGATGCCACTACGTGCTTGCCTATTAGACGCGATTCCTAGTCACATATTTCAAATATGTCTATTTGGTCGAATTATAAGATGGCCTTTGAAATTACTACAGCAGTTTCTCAACTACAAACAAACCATTGCAAGCCCCGAGCCCGGTGAAGCTGGCACCGAACCCGGGCGGCCTGTCGCTACTGCATAACGTAAATAATACAGACTATGCTATGGAACATGAATGATTTACTGACAGAAGGGAAGATGGTATTTGTAACAAAGATGTCGTCAGCGGTCCATTCATTCCTCTCCTCCCATGAATTGTATTCATCTTCTCAGTAAAACCAGCCAGTAAGCAGGGCGCCTATATTGACCAAGTCATTCAAAACGCTAGTAAACGGCAGCAACCCATCTGTTACCGAATAACTGGAACATGTCCCTGCTTTTACTAACCAATGAGGTACATGCTCAAGCTCATGCTAGCTAACTGTAAGTATTCACCGCGAACCGTTGTATGAAATGATGGGCCGGTTGCAACCCTGGTGGTAATTTAGCGTCTCGGGGACACCATGTCCTCGGTCAGTCACGGGCTCTAAGTTCACGATACACTGGTAGCATGGGTACTTGGTAGGGTTGCTAGAGGGTCAAGAGCCGCAGCGCGACGATGCAACACCAGGGGCCGCCTAGTTTCAAACATGAACAAGACTTTTGGTCGGCGAAGTAGGACTAGAAAGTCGACCCTTGAATGCTCCACCAAACATGTTGACTTCTTCTTCTTCTAGGGAGAAGCAGGGGCAATGGGATAAGCAAGGGCAATGTCCACAACATTGGCAGAAAAATATTGCACATTGACTTGGGGAAATCACAAAAGTTAGCCTTAATAAATGACATGTCATCAATTCCTATTCTCTTCTTTTTAAAAAGTTAGCGGTAAGACGAGGCGGCCGGGCAAAGGAATCAACCTTGTCATTTGGTCGCTTCAGAACCGCCGATGTGACACATTGGGCTATGATTAACCATAGCTAGCCCCTATTGGCTCTCACCTCGAATCCTTGCAAGCCACGGTGAGAACTATTATGTCACCAGACAGTGCAAAGCCATAACTATCCTGGCTTCTGAAGCGAAGGATGTGCTAGCAAGGGTCAGCACCCGCTCCGCTAGCCTATGGGAGCAATAGCAGAACAACAGAAAGCCATAATGCATCCTACAGGGGAGAAAGTGCTTGTGCACTGGCCGTGATCCAAAATTAGACACTCAAAAAGGCAGCCTCACTTCTTCAAGATTCAGCATTCGAATGATCGGTGAAGTTTCCAACACACAACGTTGTGAACGATCCCTAGCAGTCCCTAGCAAGGGACCTGGAAATAACATGCGCGAAGGCTACGAGAAGCTCGACCTTGCAGTGTCTATTCCGGCCTTTGTCGGCTCTTCACTGTCGTTTCTTGCGGCGTCAACGGTTCTTTTGCTGCAATTAATCTACCCGCCGGGTCGGCATTTTCGCCACGCGCTCATCGTCAATCTTCTGATCTCAGGTGAGGGCAGACAAAGAGGGGAAAGCCAACCAGGGTTCTTTTATACTGATCCTCCTTAGATTTGATGAATAGTCTAGGCAACACAGTCTCGGGAGCCTACTTTCTTTCTCAAGGCAGCACTCCAGCTACGAATGCGAACCCCAGCGCTGCTTGTGTGGTCAACGCTTGGGTCAACCAGCTCAGCGTCCAGACCATCGATTTTAACATTCTCATTATTTCCGTTATTGTTCTCATATCAGTAGTGAGGACGCACTGGATATCGAATTTATCAACACGGGCTCAGATATTTTTCTGTGTCGGCGCCTGGATTCCCGGTTTAATAACCAGTACGTTTGGCACATCACTGTTCTAGTTGTGACCTCAGCTCGACAGGGGATAAAGTGAATTGCAACTAACTCTTTCTTCCTAGGCAATGTTGCCCTCGGCTTGAATAGCTACGGCTTCGTCAGCGGGAATTGGTGCTGGATACGAACGGATCGTCTCGATCTTCGCTACGGCCTCACACACGGCTGGCGGCTCGCTATCTTCTTCGCCACGATAGCCATCTACACGTGCATCTACGTGCAAATCAAACGCGTTTATGGAAAGGTTAGGGCTATGGGAGGCACATTCGATATCTCAATCGAAAGCCAAGCCCGGGACCCCGAACTAGGGCTTCCATACACATCTGATACGCATCAAACTCTGCCCTCGGGCCCGTCATCTCTGTCCCAAGAGAATAGAAACCAGCAACAGGTCAACTCCGGAGGCTTGGAAAATCCAGTAGGAAATTTCCATCCTTCATCCTCGGGACAAATAAGCGCTCCGGGCCCAAGATCAGTGGCTCCTCTCAATTCTCAACCATCATTCACGCCGACCCTCAAGTCACAGGAATTCATGCCTCCACCACCGAATATTCAGAAAATGCTATTGATGAACGGATATCCAATCGCTTACATCATTCTTTGGATACCAGGCATCGCAAATCGTCTTGTTGAATCAACGGCCGGCTCGTCTCCCCAGTGGCTCAAAATTCTACAAGCATCAACACAGTTTATCGGCCTGATTAATGCATTGACGTATGGAATAAGCGAACAAATGAAACGTCGTGCTTGGGAAAGTTGGAAACACCGACACGACTTTAGAAGAGCAAATCGCTAGGTTGTCTCAGTGTATTCATCTTGGGACTGGAGTTAGGTTATTGCATTGGCGGCGTCTGTCTTTTATCTCCCTTTTTCTTCCTCATTTTTGGTAGCATTAGCAAGCGGGTTTGGCTCGATGACCATTTATAACGAACTTTTTCACGATTCGGGAATTGAAATTCCCTTTCACTCTTCATTCAGTACTCTCGTGCCGTCTCTTCTCCTGCGATGAGTAACATGAAGTCTCCCCCCCCCCCTTCAAAAAAAAATGTCAACGTCTTGTAGGAGTAACGGAATTAAGAAATGGATTCCGATGAAGAAAATCTGGGCCTCAAATCTTCCAGTTCACGTAGAACCCTCGATCTCTTGAAATTATGATAAAGAACAGCAGCAAACCGACCTACGGGCTTAGATGCTGCTTGAAAAACCTCTTCATCCGCCCTAGGGCAGGTCCATTCATACCTTCGCAGTGGCTCCCATTGGGAATGAACACTAATTCGTGGTCCTTATCCTCCTTGATTAGCTTAGACACGAGTCGCATCATGGCTGCAGGATCTACATCTGTATCCATTCCACCCACCACCAGTATCAACTTTCCTCTTAACTTGCCAGCATGGGTGACGTTCGAGTTCTCCGCATATGATTCATCCACCGGATATCCCATCCACTGCTCATTCCACCAGATTTTGTCTAACCGGTTGTCATGACATCCCGAATCTGCGACTGCCGCTTTGTAAAAGTCGCCATGATAGAGCAATGCCGATACGGCGTTCTGCCCCCCAGCAGAACCCCCCATGACTCCTACTCGCCATAAGTCCATCCACGGTCTTGTTTTTGCTGCTTCTTGCATCCAAACTATCCGATCTGGGAGTCCGGCATCTTTGAGATTCTTATAGGCAACATCATGGAACTTTTTAGATCTCCAAACTGTTCCCATTCGTCCAACTTGACAACAATATAGCCCTCAGAGGCCCAATAACGGAAGCCTGACATGGATTCGAATCGCTTCGGGGTAGAGAAATCCTGTGGGCCAGAATAGAGGTCCTCTAGTACTGGGTAACATTTTTGGTCTTGTCAAATTGTGGCGGCCGAATAATAATACCGTAGATCAGGGTCTCGCCGTCTCGACCGACTGCCGAGAATCTTTCTGGGGCATCCCACCCATTTTCTTTTAAATCATGCGCCGTCCTTTCACGCAGTATTGCCTGGAGATTTCCTGTTTCTGAGCTTCTCACGGCAGTACGTGGAGGAAGGTCAACTCTCGACCAAGTGTCGATGAAGAAGCGGCTGTTGGAGACCACTTCCAAATATGAGTTCCATCACCCTCGGTCAGTGCTTGGCAGCCGGTGCCGTCGAAGTTGACCCGGACTAAATTCAGGTGGTACGGGTCCTCTTCCTTCGTAAAACCATATACAGGTACCCATACTTGCTGGTTCGTCTCATCAACATGTTCAACATCGCGAGCATTCCACTGGCCTTGTGTGATCTAGTTCTTCACCTCGCCCTTCTCCAGATCGACGAGGTAGATATGATTGTAACCGTCTCTCTCACTTTCCCATGTCATCATGTTGGACTCTTTAAGAACGGCATATGACAACTTGTTAGTGTAGTTTATGAAGGTGTCGCTCTTCTCTTCAATCAACACTCGCACCGTCCCATCAAGTCCCATCGCCAGTACGCGGATGAGCTGATGGCCCCGCTCGTTGAACATAAATCGATACTCGGGCTGTCCATCCCTGACACCCCAGCCCAGGCTTATCATTTGGTATGGGTTTGCGAAAAGGGCATCGCTTGTTTCAATCTCTGTCTTAGTACCCAGATCGAACAGCTTCGGGCGGTCAACGCTCACACGATCGCCCGGTTTCAAGTATTGCTTCTTCGTCAGCTTCGGCTGGAGCTGGTCGTCTAGTGCGTAGTTGAGTAGGTGAAGGGAATTCTCCTATTCCAGCGTGAATTGCCAAGCAATCGCAAATTTGTCGTCCGGTGACTTGAAAACCATGATCTCATCATAGGGCTGCTCTTCCGTGCCATTCTTGGAGAGTTGTGTGCGCACAGGTCCATCTATTTCCATTTCACTCATCCATAAATTATACTGCTGTATATCAAGTTTGATATTTGGTGTTTCTCCATCCTGAACTCTCTCTTCATCCGCTCGGGTGGGCTTCTTAGCTTCATCGCCAGATTTTGTGCCCTCTTCTAGAAAGGGTTCAGTAACGATGACAGCATCATGTCCAGTGTCTGGAGTGTGAATATATGGCTTTTGTCTTGCCGCTCGACGCATCCTCTAGCCTCCAACAATGGCCAGAGTATGTCTCCTGGCTCCTTGCTCCGTCAGGTCGTATTGTGCCGTAATTTTTTGGCTTCCCTTCGAAGTTGATCCAGATGAGATTGAACGTTCCTTCTGCCTGATTCGTAAAGCGGACTGTGACCGGGGAATTGCCCAATGGATCTGACGGTTCCTCAACCTGCATCAGAGAGCCATTCTCCTGCTGGAGTGTCCCATCCCATTCGACCAATTCCGTCCCGTATTCCCATTTCTTCCCCTTGGCTTGAAAGCGGGCCGTATTACCGTCTGGTGTAGTTCCAATCCAAAGGAAAGGGAGCTGGTGGGGATCCAAATCTATCCCCGTCTTCTGGCTCAGCTCCTTTGCAAGTTTCCCGTGGTCAAATGCAGGCCTGACAAACTTATCCACCGCATGAACAAACATGAATTGGTACTTTTCGTCGTCGAGCTTCTGACGGTACCAAAAAGAATCGCCACCAGGGGTCCAGTGAGGCGTGACAGCTGTCTCCTAGAGACAACGATCCTCGATTGAAAGCATATTGTCGCTTGAAGATGAGTTGGGATCCTACAATGAAATATGGAGGGGATGGATGAATCTCGCTTCAGGTCGAGCAACAGCCAGCATTTGTCGGCATCGTCTACCATTTGAGAGGCCATCGCACAGCCCCTTTAGAGCGGGGGCGATGCAGTGTTGCGGGCAAAGAGACCTCGTTAGGACCAACAGGCTGCTGTCATCATGAGCTGACCACACAGAGATCACTGAATAAAGACTGAATTCAACATCACAGATGGCATTTTCTGAGGTTTCAAAGGGAAATTCTCTGTAGTATTGGAGTTTTATTAGAGATATTATATAATTTACGGGAAAAGCAGTGCCATTGTTCGTTCAGCCGGTGTTCGGATGCGCCCATGCTTAAACCCAGTCGTTGCTTGAGCCAATCCCTCAACAAGAGTGAGAACACAGAAACTCAATAATTAGATTTGCGCCAAAATAGTATGTGTCTGATTTCCGGGGATTTGCCATTTAGTTGACTGCGACGCGTCGCGTTTCGTGCTTCTTCGCTTTCGGGATATCAATGGTCAAGATGCCATCGCTCAAACTGGCAGTGACAGCGTCCCGGTCGATGCGAGCAGGGAAGTTGAAGTGGCGTGAGAATTCTCCAATGCTCCGCTCAGTGATCCAGTACTTCGCCTTATCAGCTGGAGCTGCAGGCTCATCCTTTGGAGTTGAATCGGCGGCGCTTTCGTCCTCAACCGTGGCCTGTTGGGATTTTTGAGACTCGCCAGCCTCTGTGATGGCCGCTGGATTGCCCGCAGACTCGAGGAAGCCGGTGGGTGAATTTGCAGTGTAAGTGCGCTCGGTCTTGCCGCGGACAACCATGCTCTGCGGCTCAGGGAACTCGATGGAAACCTGCTCCTTGGTCAGGCCGGGCAGCTCGCCGTGGAAATGGTAGGCGTCCGATGTCTCCCGAACGTCAAACTTTGGTTGCCAGTGAGAGACTCGTGAGGCTCGCCCTTCTCCGGTGCGAGCGTACTTATCAAAGTCATCGAGAAGACGGAAGAGGGGTGTGAAGGAGGCGTCGGTGTTGTAGAAGCTTTGGGGGAAGAGAGCCATTTTGACGATTTGTTGGTTGTTGTTCTGAATCTGGGATTGGTACTTTGAGCTAGGAATTGTGGTAGCTGTAGATGTTGGTGCTGTTTAAGGATGGAGAGGCCCGATGAAAGAGCCCGATTGCAGTCTTCATTTTATAATTGATTGATCGCAACATGGTGTCGATAGGCAAGTTGGTGAAGGTTGTTGTGTTCACGAGAATCGAAACCTCTGGAAAGCGCTGGTGATGGCTGTGATGCTCGACAGCGTCCAAGTTACAGTGATGAAGTGCCTAGAAGGTGGTGGATGATGCTGGAAATTCCGAATGCCCCACTAAAGTACAGCAATTGGCAACTGGAGCCGCCGGTGAAAGTGACTCCGTTGCCAAGGAAGGTATTCCTACCCTATACCCACCGACAGCCAACACTGTTTCATCATTAGGAAGACGGAAAGAGCACTTAAGATGATTGAATATAGGTATGTACATCGAAAACGCATGTGCTAATTAGCATAAAAATCAATTTGGGAAAAGTCGCTTACAAAATTCGTCAGTCATTTTCATTTCCAATAGAAGCAATGCTACATGCCTATCAAAGGTAGATAAATGTATATGATATACTCTGAACCCTCCCTGATACACTTCAACAACAACGGTACAATGGTCGGCCCGGTCTACGACGCGTTCTCGGACTAGGCTACTTTTTCGCGTCACTGAATTATGTCTATAATTAGAATTGTGCGTGATTGTGCAAAGAAAAAAAAATAAAAATAACCTGACAAAGTGAAATTTCCTTGGCCATTTTCATCTTTTCACGCTCACTTGCAAACAACATCAAGTGAATATTGTGACACGTTGATCTCTGCTATCCATCCACAATGCCTATCAGCAAAAAGGACAGAGTAGGTCTTTTCAATTTCTCGGCTTGCCATATGGCTCGGTGATGTCTCTCCTTTATCCCTCGGCGCTTATCATGATGTTTGCGCAGCGTAACCGGGAGCAGAAGAAGGCCGATGCTGCTGGCACTCGTGCCCCCGTGAAGCGAAATGGACTCCCTGTCAAGGCACCCAAGCCCACCTCGATCGTCAGTATTAATCTTTGTGTGAAGTTGTTGCTTGATGCATGAGCGGTGAACGCGGGTGGCTAAACAATTTTTCTCTAAATAGTGCCAAAACTGTCGTAAGGAGATTGTGAACACCAATAAGATTCAGTTGGAGGTTCATGCCAGTACTCACGATGAGAAGCTCTGGCCCAAGGAGAAGTGCTGGCCAAATGATTTCCCCGAAGAAGCCGAAGCCTGATCCGGGCCACGTTATTGGACTCTGCAAATACCTGGTGAACATAATTGTGATGAAAGCTATGTGAGCGGCTCGTTTGGAAAAAAAAAATAAAAAAAATACACAGATTCCTCTACTTCTGAATGAATGACATCCCATCCCTTAATCTGCAACCTAGGAGGAAGCTCGCAGTGCTTCCAAGTTGTAACTAACGCAGTCCTCCAAACTTGTCCATCCCGGGAGCCCAAGCTCCTTGAGCAACTGCTCCGCCTTGTGTCGAGGCGGGAACTCATGGGGATCCTCGCCGCCGAGGAAATTATCAGGGAACTTGCGGTTTGGCTCTTGCTTCCTCAGGATGTCAAGGATTTTGTCCCAAGAGAAGCGGTCGGCGTAGCCGAAGAGTCTCTGATCCTTGACTTTCTCGAACAGAGCACCAATCACGTGAAGGCGGCCAACATCTTGTACGTCGACGAAGTATTCTGAGATGGATGTTAATAATCGAAATTGAGGGAGCAGCATCAATAAAGGCTTTGACTTACGCGGGTGTTGCGCTTTCATGAAAGGGAGGACGTTTCCATTCCAAAGAGCCGGGATAAAACCACCGCTACTCAGGTAACCCTGGCGAACGGGGTCAAGTGACCTGCCAAACACCAAGTTGGGGAGTACTTGCGAAAGAGTTAGTTTCCAGGACTAAACAAAATAGTTCATCTATTCTCACCTGTATTGACAACCAGGTCAGGCCTCTTGCTACGGTTCTCTCGGTGAAACTTCCATAGCTCCTGCTCAGCCTGGGTTTTGCTGGCCTCGTACACCCGGCCGCCATGATCAGCGGGGTAAGGGGGCTCTGACCAGGCAAGCTTGACAGCCCACTCGTTCTGGGTATCATCGGTGGCGACAATTGGAGGAACAACAGGATGAGAAGTTGCTACTGCAGCGGATGAAGACGTGAAGACAAATCGCTTCACGCTCGGCTCAGCGTAGGCCGCCTTCAGAGCGTTGAGCACACCAGCTATGACCTGGGGGATCACATTCTTCGGGTCGGGGTCGAACGTCATGACAGAAGCTGTATGAACGAAGATTTGGACACCTGAAATCGATTGTCAGTTCAAGCTGCGGAAAACCCATCATGCTCTAAGCGATTGGAACACTTTAGACAACAATCACAGACCTTTGATTGCCTCGTCGAAAGCACCATCCTTGGACATGTCGTCAACTTGGACGAGCTCAAACCTATCCTTGCCGTACTTTTTCTCAAAAAGATCGACATACCAGGCATGCTTCACAGGGTCTCGGACAGTTGCCCGAACGTTGTATCCATAATGGAGGAACTGGTCCGCAACGTGCGAGCCCAAAAAACCATTAGCTCCTGTCACAAGAACGAGGGAGCCTTTGGGAAGAGCTGGGTTTTGCAGTGGAGACATTTCGAAGGCGTATGAGCTTCCGTGACTGGTCTTATATGTTTTAAGGGCTTGAATGTGGTGCAATGGTGAAGAACCAAGATCGATCGGGAGTAGTTAGGACATCGACATTCTTAAATACCCAGCATCTACTCTATTGGAACCTTTGTCAATATATTGAATCGCCTACGATGACAAATTTATGGACCGAGCATCGCAATTGACAAATTTTTGGACCGAGCATCGTGATTTGTTGCCGTACGTGCAGGTAGCATCGCAAAAAGTTGCATTATCGGATGACAAATTCGCTATCTCCAGGTACGAACTCCGAGTGCCCGCAGCCGCACCATAGCCTATGCGGTCATTAATGTCAGCTACGAGTACTGACAAAACCATCCCGACATTGACCGACCAAACCACCCCGCTAATTTCCAAAGTCGGGGTGATTTTGTCAGTCAGGTACTCGTCAGCTGGGTCGTCTCGAAGAAGAAGAATGACTTATTGCCTTTTGGGGTATCAGATTCCGATGTAACTATGAAAGAGATGGTAGCTACTTAGGATGTCACATGATGATAAAGGCTTGGATAATTATGATGGGGAGTAGCTGATCCACTGAGGAGTTCTATTTGCTTCAATAGCATTCTATTTGGTCTATATATTATCGTTTCTTCGTTATATGCGGGTGAGAGAGTTTGAGTACAAAGTAAAAAACAGAATGGAAGATGCCAGACCCGACATCTCAACACAACGAAAATCTCTTAGTAATATATGGCCTCCAGCTCATCCTCTTCTTAAGATGCGGTAGGATATGGGGATTATCTCTCCGTGCTACAGCTTGCAGCATGTTTTCGTAGTAGTCGCAAGGAATATCGACGCGAGCGCCATACGCAAGCAGAATATGCGCAATTTCGTCATGTCCTCGAGAAGCCGCAACAGTCAGTGCTGTCCCATTGAGAGGCAAGACTTGGTCGACGGAAGCTCCATTCTGAAGAAGCAGTTTCGTGATCTCGACTCGATTCAGGGCTGCAGCAATATGCAACAGCGTAGACCCCGACTGATCAAAGCTGTTGACATCAACGCCACTCTGTATCAGGCACCGAGCTGTCTCTTGCTCATCATGGATGATCGCATGGCGTAGACGGCTAATGTCTGGTTCTCGAGTTTCGCGCCTGAAAGGTTGGATAGACGCCTTTAATTTATCGAGATCGGATTTCATCCAGCGACTGAGTGCCGCCCCTAAGCTTCGTCCTGCTGTGGCTCTGACTTCTGGACATCGGCGGTACTCATCGAAATCTTTGGCTCGATGAGTATAGTTATTTATTGCCCGCACTATTTGGTAGAAGAGAATTTCGATTGGAGAATTCCATGTCTCTTTTATTTCCATGAACTCAATGCCCAGCTGGAGAGCGAGGTTGGCTCCTCGCTCTCGAGGCACCATCCTTGGAACATTTGATCCGGAGTCGATCCCGACAAGGAGAAGTGGCATCGAGGGTACACGATGGCATTGGCAACTGTTTTGCCGTATGGCTCCCACATTGCGCACACGCTCAATCTTGTTGTATTGATGTGTTACTTGGCGAAGAGCGTTCTTGTTTGTGACGCTGTATACCAACAAGATACCATCGGCTTCCCAGATAAACTTGTCGGCTAGAATGGCGTATCTCTTAGACGACGAGGTGAAGACTTCGGTCATGAAAGGTTTCTCTCTGGTTCCAAGCCGAAGTCCGGTTTCGGTCAGCCTATGGTTGGCAGGATCTTCTATCCTCGCAAAATGGTGGTACGAGTATTGGGTTATTGGGGCGACTTTGTCGATTCCGCCCACTACAATGAGCAGTATCTTCAGCGGGTTGATGGTTGAGTTGTGCATATTGGTTAATTGGTTAATTTGCGGATGAAGCTATGAAGATGGAGATGGGTGGCCGGGATACTGTTCAAGTATATATCGTGAACATAGCTCATACTCATTATCCCACTGGCCGCCTGGCCACCACTGGCCACTGAGGCTTAGAGTATTTCCGCCTCGGAACCTGCGAAAGGACAAAGCCCTCGTTGGCCGCTTTGGAGGCCGGGCTCACACATTTCTTTCCTTGTCTGCATTAGCCCCGCCAACCTGATGGGCAGGGGTCGATTGGACATCCAACGCTGTAATTGATTGACCTGCAGGCTTCGGCTGTGGTGCCGGGTAACAGCGGGCGCAGCATTGGAGCGTGCCATGGGCTGACGGCGCCTAAGAATAATCAAGGTCGTATTTGAGGGTTGTCTTTGGGCCTCACAACTGATATGCAGTGCCTCAATCCCCTCGGCCCAGTACCTAAGCACGTCACGCCTCGTGACACTTGCACCGATGTGATGACACTTGTTTATGGAATCAGGTGCATGTCGCAAAGTAGCATGCCATCCCATTGGGACGCTCACTTGATGGTTTACAGATCATAACTCAGCCATGCATGCTGATAGTGAGGGGCATTTACTTGCCCAAGTTTGTGGTCTGCACAATTGCGGCGAATGCTTTGCCCGAACCTATCGCTTGGAAGGCGATAATGTAAGTAACTTAGACCGAGCGAGTCTCTCTATTCATGTACCAAGTATTCTGGCTGGTGTAGAACCAACCTCTTCCTCAAATAATAACTACCCAGCCTGTGGTACGCGTGGGATTTTGTAGATCCTCCATGGGAGAAGATCTTACGAAGTTGCTCCTTAACAACAAGAGAGCTGTGGGCATCAATCACTCACAAAGGCCTTTGGATTAAGAAAAAGGCACAGACTATTGATATGTGACCATTTCTTAAGATCCTACGACACTGCCACATCTCACCTCCATTATCGTGCATTTTGTGTTACGCCGTGCTAAATTTGACCTACCCATTCCTGCTTTCACATGCCGAGGGAGAAGTTTGTGAGGCCCGTTCCACCGATTTGTGTTGATATTACAGGTGCTTTTTTTCTTGGCTCTCGTCTTTGGGGCTTTGTCGTCTATTGATATGCCTATCTTTGCCGCTTTTTCGATGCTACGATTCGGAGGGAGCTGCCTCTCGGAGGAAATGGATCACTCGGGGCGCTGGCACCATGTAGTCGCACTGCTCCTCTTCCACTATGCAGTTTTGAAGAATCATCATGGCCGTTAGGTTTTCTTGTCGCTTTCAGATAGGTCTCAAACAATTCCGCTGTATTTGATCGTTCGTTGTACCGCTTCGCGTCATTTTTTCGGTCGGGGTCGTGGAGATTCGAGCACTTCGTTGGTGATTCTTGACGCTAATCGTTCTGGGAGGATGTTGGTAGCGATTGGAAAATGGACATTAAGCCGCGTTCATCATCCACAGCCCTAACACCTTTGCCGCCGGGGTTCGTGTCGGGCTGTGTTGGTTGTTGGTTGGTTGGTCACATCAGTGATCAAGTTTCGGAGCAATTGAACACTGCCATCGCGCATCTCCACTTTCTTATCTTATCGGGGCAGGCTGGCTTAGTAATGAAATTCACGGCATCTCGAAGCCCTGAAGCTTCAGTCGAGAAGGTCCTATTCTCTAAGAACTCTACCGTAATCTGTTTTCAGTGGCGGGGTGTGCAATAGCTTCCCTCTATTGCGCTTTATCTTCACATGTCGTGGCTCCAATCTCGACCCACGGCGAAAATACACTTCATCTGAGGTTGGCCCAGCAAGAAAATGATTGAATGCAGCCAGCATATATCACAACATCAGCCGTCGGAGCAAGCGAAGGAAGATGGACTTGAATTCGCCGTTTCTTTGATCCTGCATGCGCTAGTCCGGGGGGTTTAGGCATCAGCATCCAGGAAAGGAAGCTCCCCACTCCCTCCAACGCGCCGAGGTACACCTTTTAGTTGGAAAACAGTCATGAAAATGAATATCGTAAGTCTCGGAGCGCAGAGAAGATAACGTAAGTTGTTCATGAGATGGCTGGTGCATAGTTTGTGTGACTGTTCTTTCAGTATCACCACCCTATACCCCTTGATCACAGCTGCTCCGTGTATAACTGGCACTGGAGTAAATATCTACCTGGGATTAATATATATCAGATCTTGAACTAGACGGTTTTTCTAGCTCCCGGAGGAAGCCTCTTGAGCTAGCTACCGAGGCACGAGCTATAAAAAATTCCCGGAAGGCTCAAACAAGTGCAAGAGCTAGCAAATGGTGCGGGTGTTATCATGATTCATTAATTGGTAGACTGCGGAGAAATTGCCTGAGATGGTTTGTTAGCCCTCTGATATTATATTCGGCATCTGGTCTAGTCCAAGAGCTCTTCGGACTCCTAGGATTTCATCTTTTTTTGCCCTTTTGAAGAGGACATGTGGAGGAGATGCCCCATGAAACAGATGAACAATCGCGGAAATCTGCTTCTGAGATGTACTGGAGGTCTCCGAAACTTTGGCACTGGCCTGCTCATTCAATTTTGTAAACTCCGGTACATGATTCATCAATAATACATGACTTATCGCAGGCTTTATTTGCCTTGCCTTTGTAGAAGATATAATCATATAGAAAAGCCCTATCTTTGAACCTCCGAATCATGAGAGTCTAAGTTGGAATGGGAGCGTACTCACTTTATGTGGCGGTAGAATGGTGGCTATGGTCAAATTGGCGAGTGCTGATTCTCAAGTTACCAACGCGGGCGATTTAAAGGTATGTACTTGATTCTTCTGAAAGCAACCAATAGGCCAGGTTCTGCCTTTGCCATCGGGACACAGGACGGATGCAAAGTTAAGATGAATGTCAGAACAACAAGATTTTGGATTTTTTTTTTCTCTTCGTTAATTTTAGCAGTAAGTTTCCAATACAATTTCCTTTTCCTTCTCCAGCCACTCTGAAAAACTCGTCAGCGGAATGGCGGACGACAGCTCCTCCATGTCCATGAACTCGGCCTGCTTCCTCATTACCCGGTCTGACATCATGAAGGAGAACGACACCGCCTGCGAGTCGATATCCTCATCGGTCATGAAGTACTCCTCGAAATCCGTCCCAGTCGCCTGCCCCAATTGCTCCAGCATATCTGGGACGCTCAATATCTCGCTGGCGAAGGGGATGCCGCGCCCGTGCCATTTGTCGGGGTTCTGGAATATCACAACAGCAAGCTTGCTGATGTCGTCCGGGTCGGCAAGCGCTAGCCTCTCGCCCTCCCTCATGACGGTTTCCCAGACGCCCTCCTGGCGAAGATGGGGGAGGAAGTAGTCGACCTGCGGCGTGAGGAGGTTGTTCATGAAGAACGCCGGGCGGATAAAGGTCCAGTACTTGAAGGGGCCATCCTCTATGGCCTGCTCGATGACCCTCTTGCCCGTGATGACCATCTTGAAGAACGGCGACAGGGTGGGATCGCCCAGCGTCACGACGCCCAGAGACCCCGAGAGCGCGACCTGCTGGACCTTTGCGGCCTTGGCGGCGGCGACGATGTTCAGGCCTTGGCGGCGCTCACGATCCGGGTCGTCGGCGTAGGTGATCGTGGAGATGAAAATCTTTTCTACGCCGCTCATGGCCGCCGTCAGCGAGGCGACATCATCCCAGTCGCCCTCGGACAGCTCAACTCCGGCGGCCTTGAGCTGCCTGGCGGCATTGGAGTCTGGGGTCCGCGAGGTGCCCTTGACGGTCCAGCCCAGTTGTCGTAATTGTAGGGCCAATGGCTTGCCTTGGCTGCCTGTGATGCTGCAGAGGAATACGGAAGGGGGTGGCATGGCTTTAGGATGTGCTTTTGCGTGTGGGTTCGTGTTTGCGAGCGGGGTCGCTGTGGGCGGCGTATCGGTATGTGCCTCTGCCAGAACACCAAGATTTTAATTGCGTGCGTCCGAGTTGGAAGGGGGGGTAGGTGACAGTTTGCGGGTGCGGCAAATATGGGAGTTGGAGGATGCTCGGCGGCCATGCAGTGCAGGCTCGTCAGCAGTCTTGAGCAGATCCTGGCACTGTTATTCCCTTATTTACTAATAATTCTCGGCGTGGCTCCTCTCTGGGGAATAAAACGCTTGCGCAGTCCAGGTATTGATGGCTTCTTATCGTCGTCAATCAGGGGGGCGGTTGTTGTAGGGGTCAGCCAAGAGGAGGGGGGGAGGCAAGAACTTTGCGTCTTTTCCCACCTCGGCCTAGCTGGCGCCAAATCTAATTCTGCGGCTGAGGATCCGGAGCACCAATTTCATTCCAGCAGCCAAGCTGTCGGACGCTCGGTCGCAGGTAGATGGGGTATAGCTGCAGGATGCATAGGCGCCAGTGGGGGAGGGATTTCCCAGCAGCTCGAGCGAAACCCGAGCCAGCGGTCTAGATGTCGTACTAGCCGTTAGCTGGCATGCAAGCCTGTTGGTCAAACTCTTCAGTTGGCAGGGGTTGACGTTCAGCTGACAGCCACAATTCAGAGACAGCCCGGATGGCACCGAGCTGGGGTCCCGCTCTTTACGTACGCCAACCAAGCCCAAGGGCTGATCATTACCAGGTTACGGGGATATTTATCCTGAATTGGCCGGGCAGCCAACATGCTTCCTCCTGATGATGGATCCGGGAGGCTGGGTGAGGTATAGGAACTTGCAGGCCTTCAGGGTCAGAAACGTTGGCGATATCCGGCGCACATACCCCTGTTGACCTGCAGCTAGTAGGTTGGCTTTTTTGTCCTTTGTGACTTGTCTATACGTACTAAATATTACCAAAGTCAGCCTCGTTAGCGTAGGAGATTGGAGCTAACCGAGCAGCTTGTTTCATCTCAAAAATCCTGGGGTTTTGAATGAGGTATCTCAGCAGTTTGACTGCAGACTGTATATCTAGGAACTGATCAAGGTAGCCGTGGTCGTCTGCCTGGTAATGGAACGTGACGCGTAATCCAGTTACCTATCACTCCCACGCCTCGCACTCTAAAGAGATAGAAGAATCCAAACGCGCCAGCGATATTGAAGGCAACAAAAGCAAATCCAACTCCCCAGTACATCCATCTCTGGTGATAGTACATCCCTGACCTCGCTAAGACCTGATCGGCTGACCGCAAAGGGCAATAGGAACAGTTAGCAGCAGCCCCTGGGTTCAGCAGTACGCCAGGCGCGCCATTGTCGAGAAATGGCTGCATGTATGATCCACAATTACTGCCCCTTGGGGGTTGGAAGACAGCGATTTCGGAAGGTGAGCAGGTGATGGGAGTTCCTGATAGACCTGCGACGGCTGTACCTCCCACAAAGTATGTCATCGGGGACACGCGATACATGAAAATCCAAAATCTCGGCAGGGCTGTTGGGATTTGGAATACGCCTGCAAATAGTACCATCATGGAGAACATGATGGTTGCAAGACGGCCGGCCGTTGTTGCGTCTGGCAACGGCGCCACCACCATCAATGCAAAGGTCCCGGCAAGGATGTAGAAGTGAATTAAGAAGATGCAGACCAGCCCTTGCTCCTCAGCTGAACGGATCCCGAAGACCGTGTAATTAAAGATTGCGAATGTGAACCCTCCTAATAATATGTGATACGGGAGTTCAACGAGTAGATTGGCAAGGATCAAAACGGGCCAGTGGTACATGTTGGAGTGTCGTTCCCGGACCTCATAAATTGTTCGTTGAGCGATGAACCTCGGCATAATCTAAGGGGTTTTGTTATTCAATCAGTCAGGTGCTCGACTCTTCCCCCTTTTGATAGCGCGATTCTCTTACCTGCTGAATCAGACTGCTGAATGTTGCACAAATCATGAGTATTGAGAATATTTTGTTCTGGACACCCAAGATAGAAGGGGGGCCTTGGAAGAAGGAAAACCCAATCAACAACGAGCAGCCACATCCCAGCATAAATTTACTGACAATATACGACGGCGATCGCCAATACTTTTGGAAAACCCTCAAGCAAATGGGAGATATTTGTGACAATAGAGGGACCGGGTAAGTGTCCAAGGCCTTACTGTCAGCCGCTTTCTTGATACTGGGCCTCTTTTTTTGTTTCCCTTGCCGCTCCGAAGAAGAGTCTCTTGCTTGCTCTATCTCCCTCTGAACCTCATCGGCATTTGCGGATTCAGCCCAAGTCCTCGACCAGTCAGGCTGCGAACTCTCATTGTTCCCAATCAACTTGAGGAGATATTCAGCAGGGTTCTCGGAATCTTCGCATGTCCTATGCTCAGGGTCGTGAGCAGCGAAGTATTGTAATACAGCGTCTGAGTTTTCTCCAACGTCTCCAAAATATGCAACTCTGCCGCCTTGAGCCATCAGTAAGAGCCGGTCAAATTGTTGGAACAGCATCGCGCTAGGTTGGTGGACGGTGCAAATGATCCCAAGTCCTCCAGCTGCCAATTTCCGGAGAAGAGACAAGATAGCTTCGGACGATTGGCTATCTAAACCAGAAGTTGGCTCGTCTAGAAAGAGGAGCAGTGATGGTCTCGCCGCAAGTTCGACTCCAATGCTAAGACGCTTGCGTTGTTCGACATTGAGACCTTGACCTGGTATCCCCACAACGGCATCACCGACCTCGGACAGGCCAAGAACTTCAATCACATCTTCAACGAAGGCCATTTTTTCTTGCTTTGGAATGTCAAAGGGTTGCCGTAGCAATGCCGATAGCTGCAGAGCCTCGCGAACTGTCGACGTATCGAGATGGACGTCTTGCTGCTGGACGTAGCCAATGTGACTCTTGAACGATCCGTCGATAGGTTCCCCGTCAATGTAAAATTCTCCTGCCATGACACAGTCCGATGACCTTTGAGCTAGTGTGTTTAGCAGTGTTGTTTTCCCTGCTCCGGACACACCCATCAACGCGGTCAGGGAACGCGGTCGAACCCAACCGGCCGCATTGTCTAGAAGCCTCCTCGGTTGGCCCTTTATCAACACATCAAGAGTTACTTTACTCCACGAGAATATTTTCTCATTCTGATTTATAGGACTTTCTCCGTTTGTGTTGACAGAAGCAGCGTTATGCAAGTCAGGTTCGTCACTCGCCTGTCCCTGGCCCTCGGGGTCACTGTGGATAGTTTCACGATGCAAGTCGGCATGTAAAGAATCCTTGGGTACATGTCCGCGAGAGAAGACAAGGACACTTGGTCCACTGGAAGAACTCTTACCATACTCTGTAGCGACGAGGTATGTGAGGAGGAAGAGGAAGAGGAATCCAATGATGATACCGTAGTTGCGCCAGAGATGGGAGTAAGAGTAACCATAGCTGGCTTCGCACCAGGATTCGCCCACAACAAAGGAATGTCCTGCAACAGAACCCGGGACTGGACATATGAACGTGTCACCTGTTGAATGCGGATATGGGGGCACCAGGCCCGCACAGGGGTATTTTGCTCCGTGGACCTGGTTCACAAGAAGTGCCTCGAACACGTATGCGAGTGGGTTGATGTAGGATATCCACTTGAACCATGGACGCATGTATGGGCGGGGTAGAATGAATCCGGTATATGTAACCAGTGTCAGAACGAGGAAGCCAGATATCGCAAGCGCGGCGGGGAGCGTCTCAGTGGCCGCGGCAATTGTTCTGAACACCATTGACATTGTCAAAGTGGCTGTAAACACAAAGAGGAAGAATATGAAGAATTGGGCGGCAGTTCGTTCCGCACCAGATAAAAAGTAAAGAATAGCGTTGAAGAGTACGGCAGTGACAAATTTGATTGGAATGTCAGCCAGGATACCAGCAAGTGCATTTGCTGAAGGTCGATAGAACGCATAGGAGGTCTGCTTTCGAACAACCGAGCGACCGCTGTATAGGCTGTGGATGTCTGTCACGGCCATGAGAACATTGAGGAGTACGGAAAAGAAAAGAACAGAGCCGTAAGAAAAGAAGGCATTCGTGCTTTGTGGAGTGCCGTAGAATATGGATCCCACCACAAGGGAAATGACCACTTGCCCAAGGAGTGCCGTATAAGTCGATGCTTTACTGTTCCACAACTGCTGGTATCTCCTCTTGATGCAAAGGCGGGTTTGTAACGGAAATGAAACCGTCTGGGGGGCTCTGTTTAGCATCCATTTCGACTTGATTTGTTTGCGGGCTAGAGAAAACTCTCGTCGAGTGGCCTCGGCTTGGGGAATGGAGCGCTTTTCGTAGTCATCAATGTCTTTCTGGACCGCCGCATACTCTGAAGAATTATGCCAATAGTCTTCAAACTCCATGGCGGTCCTTGGAACCCGGCCTTGGAATCCTTCTCTGGGTGTTCTCTGCAAAGGATTCGTGATAGCTGTGAGGAAGTCTCCAGCCGGCTGCCTGGGAGGGTAATACCAGCCCATCCTTTCGAAATAACTTGTCGCTAAAGAAGCCTGACCGAAGAATATTTGTCGCCCTTCGTAAAGTATCAAAATCTTATCGAACATGTTTATCATGGCCTGTGAGCATTGGTAGATGGCCGCCGCGTTTGCGGCTTGAGTTACTAGATAAAAAATTAGAACAACCCGTCGATTCTGATAACGCGAAGGGCTAGGACCTCCTACAATTAGAAAGAGTACGAAGTCGGTTGACAAAACCAAGAGCCGATTCTGCGTCCAACCCTCGCGTGGAGTTATCCCATGCATAAATTGTGGCCTCGGCAAAAACTGTCTCTGCAATCGATAGTCTCTTCTTCTCGCCGCCAGATATGCCTTGCACAAAGTCATCACCGACGAGAGTATGACGCGTGTGCGACAGACCGAAAACCCTAAGCAAAACGTCTACAGCGTATTTCATTCGATCTTCTCGGCTGATTCCTAGTATCCGAGTTCGTGGAGCGCGCATGGCCGCAGCGAACTCGAGGGTCTGTCCTACGGTTAGGTAGGGAAGATGCTCATCCACTTCCTGATTATATAGCAACTCTCCCTTGAATTTCTCCGCCATAACTTCGTGTGGAATGCCTATACACTTAGTTAAGTGAGCGTCGCTATTGATCGTGTAAATTATCTTACCAGAGTAATGAAGGGTTGAGGTAGGTTCCACCTTGAGGTTGGACATCTCACCACTGATCGCCCTCAGAAAGGTTGTACACCCACTCCCAGCACGCCCAAGCATAAGGAGAAGCTCTCCCTTTTGGACGACTCCATCAAGACCGTAGAGAATAGTCCTGGAAGGTGTCGTTCGGAACCTCTTCCAAACTTCGTATGGCCAAGCTAACCAGGTCAAAATGGTTTGCTGCTCACCGACTGATACACCGTTTCCTCTGATGGTTAATTTCTTGAAACAAAATCCAGACCGCGGTGGGGGAGGGATTCCGAGTTCATTTCTCAGGCGAGCTATTGTGTTGGACCATCTTTCGAAGTCAAAAGAGGGACTCGAGGGATCCACGGTATGGTCACAAATCCCTGCTTTCGATAACATCTTATTTTGCAACATTTTTGAAGAGTGGACCCTGCCGTTTCACTTTGCAACATTTATTGATGACAGTGGTGCAGAGGCAAGGTGAATGTGGTGTGGGTATTGGGTCGTTGAATCAGTATACACCCTTCAGGGCTTTACATCCAGCTTGTAGGTAGATGATATGTGAAGTTTTTATCAAAGGCATTGCTGGCTCACAACAATCGCGATAGGCTTTGACTTTTTACGATTCAGTATCTTCTGCTTGCTCCGAACAAGTGCAAATGAAAACCCTCCACGTGACTCGGAAGTGATGTGATATCTTGTAGCTGTCGATAAGTAAAGCGAACTTCCATACAATGCATACGAACATTCTAGCCTCAGGCCGACAGATATGACGCGTGGGCAGTACACAATTGTTGCATCACTTGTCCTCTCTGATAAGCTCTGCAGAGAGAGAAGCTCGGTGTAGCTCTGGTGCAAGCCCAGTTCTAGGCCTTCGATGCGAACATCAATACAACTGCAAACTCAATCGCCGCTTACGGAGTGGCCTAGGCGAGTAAAGAATTCCTGTTTTCCCCGTTAAGTTTTTGTAGGGAATCAAGTGCTGTCAAGTCTGTTCCCCGGCTGGGATGCCGACTGGGTCTGGACCGTGAAGGTATGTGCTTTGTAAACTCTAATTGGTGCATTCTACGGTCAGGTCGGCGATGACTTCGGGGCATGGGGAATGACGATGCCTTCAAGCCCTGTTAATTTCCCTCTTTTCTTAGCATGATATGACCGGTATCTTTGTTTACCATGTATTGTTACCAATGCGGACCTAAACCTGGACCCCTTACATCAAGTGATGGGGTCAGGGGGCCAGTCACCAGGCGGCTGAAGTGAGCTAACAAATGAGCTGTCCCCCTCTTTTCTCACCTCCAGGACCCTGCTACATCTGATGGTGTGAAACGTCAAAGTTTACGGCACGTCAATTTGATAGCTGCCTAGTTTGTCTTCATATTGCATATAATTATGAATATGATGGCTTTTATACAGAGGGCTTAGAAATTGGCCACAGCTGTCAAGCACAAATACAACAACGCCATTTCCCTTGGAGACAACCCCCTCCAACCGCATTTCTCGCTCTCAAGAGACCATGGAAATATCGAAAGCGGAACTTCATCTGACGTCAAGGTTTAGCTCCATCATCTGAGCAGTGTTCGGGGGCTTGTCTAGTGCGGCGGGGTCAAATGGTAAACAGTGGTAGAAGGTGGTGTGGTAGTGAAGGTTAAACTTTGTCCACGTCATTGGCCTAGCTATCCCAAAACAGATGTATTAGCTGAGAGCTCACCGACAAATGAACACCCTCGGGATTCAGATGTGGATGGAAAATGCTTCGGGGTTGGTTTTGTAGTCAAGTCTTGCTTCGTTGAGTTTGCAGTAGCTTGAAGCAAATCAGCACATATGAACATCGCACACAAGCCATCCCTCTGCCATCTTATATGAGGCCCCAATGGCAGTAAAAAGGTAAAGCAGAATGGATATCGACTCTCTTGACTTTGAATTCGACTTTAATCCAACATTTACGCGCAAGATGAGGTGTCCAAAGGAGCAACAAACGACCGACCAGTCGTACTTGAGGGGAATTGTTGATATGGGGAGGTGTGTGGCTTCTTTCCCCGGGCGTCTTGATGTAAAGTCCAGCTAACGTTTGCCATCAAGCAATGGGATCCGGTTTTCGGTCACGGACTTGTCCCCTCCTTTCTCTCGTATACTTCCAACGGTTCACGTTTATCGCGTCGCCATATCTCTCTATGATTCGCAGTACGACGAAGACACTGGAGAGCAGATTCCTATCCCGCAAAATGTGATTGGGGATATCGTCGCCGCTCTGGTTCGCTTCAAGATAGTATGCAGCGATCTCGGAGTGCCCGAGTCCAATATTCACATTGTCGCCACGGAGGCAACACGAAAGGCAATCAATTCTGCCGAGTTCATAAAAGCTATTCAGTCTTCTACTGGTCTCAAAGTCGATATGCTTCCCAAGGAAAATGAAGGCCGGGTGGGTGCCTTGGGCGTTGCCAGCGGCTTCTCCAATATAAGCGGCCTCATGATGGACCTGGGTGGTGGTAGCACTCAAATCACCTGGATCATTTCTCAGGGTGGGAATGTCCGCACAAGCGTGAAGGGTTCCCTGAGCTTTCCCTACGGAGCAGCCGCCTTGACCCAGAGAATGGACGATATCAAGAAGGGAAAATCAAAAGAGGAGGCTGACAAGGGGTTGGCGCACCTACGTCAGGAAATGACTGAAAACTTCGCAAACGCCTACAAGGAATTGGAGATCCCCCTAAGCCTCATCGAAAATGCGGAGGCAGAGGGAGGTTTCTCTTTGTACCTCTCAGGAGGAGGATTCAGGGGATGGGGGTATCTGCTGCTGTACATGAGTCAACTTGAAAAGCACCCGCATCCAATCTCAATCATCAATGGGTATACCGTGGATAGAAAGAGGTTCGAGGATACAAAGACGATAGAGGAAGTTGCAAAATCCGCCGATAAGGTCTTCCGGGTTTCTGATCGGCGGAGAAAGCAAGTTCCTGCCGTGGCCTTCTTAGTCAACGTTCTCTCGCAGGCGATACCCCATGGGTTCCGAGCAGCACACTTCTGCCAGGGAGGTGTTCGCGAGGGCATATTGTTCAGAGAGCTCAGTCCCACTGTCCGCGCAGAGGACCCCCTTGAGATCACCACCCAGCGAGTCGCGCCTGAGTCCGCGGATGCCCTCTTTAAGCTCTTGTCGTTCTCTATTCCGGAGCCGTCGAGGCATGATGGGCGTAGCTTTCCAAACACACTTGATGTTCATGTTATAAGAGCCTTTATACACATCATGTACGTGCACGGCATCATGGATAAGGAGCTGGCCTCAACCGCAGCCTTGTACAGCACAAGTACCGGGTTATTGGCTTCCACCCGCGGGGTGTCGCACGAGGACAGAGCGAGACTCGCTTTAATGTTGGAGTCCAGATACATGGGGGAGCTTCCTCCTCGTGAGACTACTTTCATGCACGGCCTTCGGCGGTTAATCACCCCAGAGGAGGTTTGGTGGACAGCATACCTAGGGCGCATTGGATATTTGCTCACCCGCCTCTATCCGGCAGGAAAAATCGACGAGACGAAGCCTCGTGTGGTTTTATCATCGGAATGGGCCTCGGATCTTGGACGAAAGAAAGAGAAAGACGGTGTGCGACTGGTGATCTCGGTGCAGAAGGTGAAAAACGACCCTGCGAAGCTGAAGAAGGCCTTGGCGGACAATGTCAAGATCGTAGAGAAAGTTGGTAAGAAGAAGAACTGGATTGGTGGGCGTGATGGATGGGGCATGAAGGTACAGGTGCATGTTGAGGAAGAGGACATAATGTAGCTCCTTTGCTTACTGGATATGCTCAAAAACATGTTGATCGTTTGGCTGCAGCATTAGTATTTTTACTAGGACTCAACTTACCGATATCAATGAGAATGATCCATCAGAAAACATGGCCTTGTGTTCATTTTTATGTCCACCACCAGTATAAATGCGAAATTATCTATATGAACAATGATGATTCTTAGATGCAACGAGTATTGGTATTTCAAGAGGTGGAGCACATTTTGTCAACGAAGAACAAAGGAAGATGGTAGATTTAGCCTGCATCTTCAAGATTAAGGATCCAAGTAGCGAGAAAGCAAGTTCAATAATGCAGACCAGCCACGAAAAAGATACAGCTATCGTTCTCTGTCTCTCATACATACATTTTCACTTTAAGTCTGTCTGAAATAAAGCAAATTGATCTTCACAGCCCATAATTCGTCATTACTGGGCCCAAATTACCACCACTCTCATTGATTATTCCACCACTTCGTCCTTCCGTGTCTCTCATGACTTCCCTAAACCGCAACAGGGGTTGGCGCATTTGTGGGTTCGGCTTTGTGACCCCTGAGCCTGGGTGAAGGAGAAGAAGAATTAGTTCGACTGTAAATCACACAGCAGTTCATGACTGGCTTACCTGGAGAAATGTCGATGCTTCTCGTCATGCGCGTCAGAGACCTCATTTCGGTCGCGATTTCTCCATGCCCGATAGAGGCGTCCACCCTAAGATAGTGTTAACATCTCGGTAGTAGAATGATGAGAAAATAAGATGATGGACCGACCAGAAGGGTACTGCCAATATGGAGCATACTGGCAATGAATGAAAATGCCAGAACCGTCCTATAATCCGAGCAGCCAGCATTATTGACACCCACAACTCCGACTGGGCCAGTACGCCACCATCGACCCCAGTAGTATCCCCAATAATTGTTGTACCACGTGGAACCGCAAGCGTGGATGCCGGTTCGCTATAAGTCATTTACATTAGCATCTGTTTCACATTCCATGATATGGGAAACACGATCAAGCCTTACACTTTCCAAGAGGCAAAAAGCCACGAGCCACATGATGAACATAACAGCGTCGAATGGGAAGGTAATAACGAGAGGACCGATGGGGATGCATAGAAGGATCGTGTACACAATACCAAGGCAAGCAGTGACCATAGTGTAGATGATACGGCCATCGATATTGACGTGAGCAAGATTAGCCAAGTAGGTGAATCGGCTGAGGATGCCTAACACTATAACAGCACAGATGAACTCTCCGAGACGGAAGAGTGCAAAGAGCACTTTTGAAACGGTATGTCTTTCTGCCATGGTGTAAGAGAAATGTTGTAAAGATGGATTCAGTAAGTTTTGGGTTGTTCCTCGACGGATACTTGCAAAAACGTAGTACGAATGGGTTGAGGGAGAAGGCTCTTAATATGAGCAAACCCAAAGATGGCAGCTGCCAGCATACCCATAAAACATCGGAATCATGCCGCATGGTAGGAATTGAACCGATTGGCCATCCAGCGAAGTTCGTGATCCGTTGATGTAGACGACATGTGACGAAGCGTTCCCGAGGATTGATCCAATCGTTCTGCACTACAGCTTGCGCACATACCTGGTAAGTCGCTGGACACGTAATGACCCTCCTCCCCAAATTGGAGTAAAAGGAACAAAACTTTCAACCGGGATATTTCAGACTTTACTTAGACGCCACAAAGGAGGCTGGTCTCGACCATTTGCGGGGTGGTTGTTCATTGAAATGCCAAGTCATAAGTACATACGTCAGTGTCACGTTGCTCGTCTTAGTGTAGCTACTTCCTTTTTGGCATGCCGGGAAATCCGGGATTCTCATTCACAAGTCATTGGAACGATGCCCGTTTGGGATGCATTTGGAATAGCACACAAAAACAATCCAAGGGTATGCTCGCTAGCTCTTGGGTGCCTAGCTTAGCAAAGATAACGGAAGGGAGGTGGGCTGATCACTACAACGCTACGTTCATATCCCCATATCATTGTAGTCGTGACTCACCACCCGTAACCCTACTTTTGGACCGTAATTTAGACGGAGCTCATCTTTTAGGAATGCCAATGTCTGCTGCAAGAATCGACCACTAACAGCTTCCTACATTTGGTGTTCCGTTTCAGAATTTGACACATAAGAGGCTGCCAAAGAGTCCAGATAGCTATTAGAGAGGAATGTTTTGCCGCTAGCAGGACTCTGTCTACTGAAATTATTGCTTCATCTAGCTCTAAAGAAATTCTCGCCGGCCAGGGCTGGACTTGTGAACGTTTTGCGTCAGCTACCTATCAGAAACGGTGGAATCAGAAGTGCAGTAACGCGTTCTCCCGGTGGCTGACTGTTTAGAACTTAAAATAACACCACCAGGAGCTCAAAATTGGTCACAATGCTCCTCGCTACTCGAGCACGGAATCCGTAACACAGCGACCATTACATGGAGTTTTCATGTCCTGGATCCTAACGCGTAGCGATACAGGTTTTACCACCAAAGCTTTGGGAGGAGCGGGATGACATGCCATGGTAGTATTCCTCTTCGGTAAGTAGTCGCCGACCATGTGCGGTCAATAGAAACCGTTCAACTCTAAATGCAGATGTGGATCCGATTGTGACAGTAAGTGGATGCTAAGTCTTCAGGGTGTCATCGACTCTCAGGACTGTGTTTAGTCAAAAGGAATGAACTAACGAGACGGCTGCCTTTCGTTTTCCCATCCAAAATGATACTGGGCATTGTCTGTGACTGGAATGACGTAGAAATGACCAAACCTGCACTCTCTATACAGCAATAATGGCCCTTGGATCATAGTCATAGTTCAGCCCAAGGTGGTGATTTTCCAGATCCCGACCTGTCAGCTCGTTAAGCACAAGTCTCTCGCTAGGTAATGACAAGTATGCCAATGGGCAGTATTCATTCTTTGAATCCACGTGGTGTCGCTATCGATCGATCCAAACTCTATTCTTTCGAGCCAAATCTTGATGCAGACGATTTGCTTGCCTTTCTCGTCCTCGGATGAAAATGGCTAGGCTAGTCATTCAGCCGTGGCTTAGGCTAGCAAAAAATCAGACGAGACGCGCGGATTTCTTCGCTTTTTGACAAACCACGTGCAAAAGATATGCAAACATGCAAACAAGGTGGTTAAACGGCACCGCGCTCGTTGCGACTTTCATTAGATCCTCGAATGGGTGGGAAGGAAACCAATCAAAGCCACTCCTCAAATTTCCCAGACCAAAGAATCTGTTGTCAGCCTTGATCTTAATAATCGACTGTTGTTCTTCGGCTGCGGCGAGAACGAGACATCTTCCGGCCCGCTGACTGTCTATTTTCCCAACGTCCCATATACACACCACTTCAATGTAATCAATCACCTTCCAGCTCTAATCCGTGATGAGGAGCGGAGTTAGATTGCTCTGAACTCTCACAATTGTGGCACCGATGGGCAGCGCCTCAATATAGGTAGAATGTAATAAGCAACTCGAATGTTCTTATATATAAGCCGCGGATGGCCACTAGTACTAGCTGAGCAAGGCGGCATCATATCGTTATGTTAGAAGGCAAAAGTTGGAGGGATAGTATCCTTACTTGGCTAATTTAATTATGAATTTCGTCCTCATCTTGAACGTCGCCTTTTTAAGACCAATCAGATTCTGGACGTGATTCTGCTTGAGACATTGGGCTGTAGGGTAATTCAGCTCGGAGGCTCTTCTTGTTCAGAGAACGATAAGACTATGACTATATTCATGCCTTTGTTGTGGAGCTTTTTATTTTGATAGTCGAGATATATTTCAACAGAACTTATCCTTACCCTTTGAAGCATATTCAGGTGACTTGGAGCAAGTATTTTTTAGGCTCTGGCTCGCTCAGGGGGCCGTGTTCTAATCTTAATTTTAGTATATTTTCTATTATATCAAATATGAGGGGACGAAATGCTAAAGTATTGTCATTACTTGGGAGGCTTCAAATTGTGCCCTTCTAGTTTCTTGAGATGAAGATTTTCTCAGAGAATTTTTGGATGTTAATACGCTCACATCCTGAGTGCCGACCTGGAAAATGCAGGTCTACAAGTACGGCTGAATTTACTTGATTAGGAATGTTGATACTGACAGAGACGAACTGATCACCAAGAGCAATGATTCATGAGTGCAGCCGATGGAGGGAGACTTCACATTGGCTGAATGCCGGCAATCGCGAGCTTCTGGAGAACTAACCAGGTGCCATACGATATGTTGAGGAAGGGACGATGCCCCAAAAGTCTTGAATGATTAGCATTCCCGTCCGTGTTGAGAAATTCCTCCGGCTTAATTCTCCGCTTTGGGATCTTAGCTTTGTCACTGGAATGTTGGGTATCTGTGGCCCATCGCTTTCAACCCAAGCAAGTACACGAATCCGGCCAGCGTAGCATCTGAGACACACAAAAGCTTCGCATAAGAGCTGGGAAATGGTAAAGGCTCGGGGTTTAGAGGTAAATGACGGGATTGAGGGACACTACGGTCATTTGACTTGTTCATCTGTGCTAAGAGGGGCCAGTGCGCGCATTGGAAACTAAGCCAATGGTTCATCATACCATATCTTGACAATTCCTGCCGATGAGCTGTACGTTCATTTGTGGAGCGAGACCCGAGGTATGCTACGAAACCTTCTCGCCCCTCCTAGATACTGCCCCGCTGGCCAGTCTTCGATGGATCTTTCTTCCCTTATCCGAAGACTGCTCTAAACGGTTGATGGCTCACGATTCCTGTACCTGCGCCACATTTTGTTTGCGTTGTTGTAGCCTTTCCTTCCCCATCGTGGAGCCTCATGACAACAGATATCACAAACATATGCTCGCCCCCCTGCTTGGTCTGGTCTCGTAGTCCGTGCTTCTTTGTCTTCTATTGTTGCTCCATTCGCATGGCTAGAATTCTACCGCGTATAAACCAAACATGCTCACCCTCGAGGCGGAGTCGTGGGTGTGGTATGGCGTTGTGTGGTTTATCGTCCTGACTCGAATGTAGGGTGTTGTCTGCTGTTACGAGGCATGCGAGAGAGCTGACCAGTAATGCGGCTTAGGGTTTCGAGGAGGATGTTGCTTGGTTCGTTTAAGAGGTTTCAGATCGACGATTACCTCGTGTTACTCGCTATGGTACGCCCACTGGTCCCGCACACCTGGTACAACATTTGCGCTAATCACGGCTGAGATCAGGCAACGCAAACTGTCTTTATATATTTTCTCAGGGTCATCGATAACACGCCCAATAACCTGATCAACCCAAGTGTCCCAGAAGATAATGTGGTATTCACACCTAAGAATATTCAGGAACGGATTCGTGGATCCAAGGCAATATTTGTGGCTGAACAGATGCAATGCTGTACGATTTGGATTATCAAAGCGTGCATCTTATTGATGCTCTCCCGTATAACGTAGGTCAAACTGAAACTATCACCCTTACACATGTTGTCGACTATACTCTATTGTATAGCCACTTGAGATATGGTCTTCGATGCCTACCTTCACAGCACTGATTGATTTCTTAGGATCAACACGGAGCACAAATTTTTTGTCAAGATCGCGGCTGTATACACTACCGTGTGCTTCATCGTTATGGAGATCTTATGCTTTGCCGCATGGTGTCGACCATTCGACCAGTACTGGGCGATTCCTCCAGCAAATAGTATGCAACTCCCGGATTGATAATCTCCCCACGTGCTGACGTTTGCTTGAACAGCCCAATGCGCTACGTATTTGAACCATCTCATTACAAATCTTGTTGTCAATCTCTCATCAGATCTGCTCATATTCTTTATCCCTTTTCCTCTATTCTTCCACTCCTCACTCGACCTCAAACAGAAACTTGTTCTGTCCTGCATCTTTGCTGTGGGGATCTTCACGGTTTGTTGAACATATCTGCATTCTGTTCCTGGCTCGTACTGATAAATTGTAGATGGTTTGTGCTATTCTTAGTAAATCATACTCGTTCAGCGACCCCTATAGCAACAACTGGACGTACTGGTATGTTCGCGAATCATCAACGGCTATCATCTGCGCGAATCTTCCCCCTATTTGGCCCTTGATCCGAAAGGTCTTTGCCATCAAATCTCCCAATTCAACCAAAGCAAACTATTATGCTCGCTCGGCTCGACCCACCAACACATAATGTTTAGATTGGAAATACGCCCCCAAGCACTATTAGAACGGCAGAATCTTGGATTGGTGGCTGCAATAAGGCAGTATGAGAGCAAGTGCACTTGTTATCAGAGACATTATATTGCCATTAAATGGTTTTGGAATTAGCGTCAAGATAGCGGTTGTTTGTGCGGTCTGAAGCTCCGTTTATTATACAATATAAAGAAGCCCATTTTGACCAACTGCAAGCAAAATAGAAATAAGCAAAACAGAAATTTACTTCTTCGCAAACCTGATCATAAAGCCCTATTCGAGCCGTTTGAAGTGTAGTATACCAAGATAATCAGAGGTCGTACCAATTCACGTATTTGGTGAGAAGTGGCTTTCTCCTGAGGGCAGAGCGACTCCTTGGAAATTGTTGTTGATGACTTTTTCGCCCTGAAAACAGATCATTGAAACAACCCAAAACCGAATCTACCTTTCTCAGGTCCTACTCAAGGCGCATTGAACAAATTCTCAGCAGCTCCTACTTTAGACGGTGGTAGCTGATAGAAAGGCAGAACTCTGCTACAGCAAGAGACTAAATGCTAGCCGTTCTATCACTGAAACCGCTGGAGGTATTCTCTACTTATATCGTACGTGATTATTTCTCGACCACTGTAAACCGGCTGTGCATCTTCGATGTCAAAAAACCGTATTTAAGGGTTTAAGGCCTTCAACGGGCTGCGACGTTGTTTTTTTGTAGAATAGAGATCTTCGGGAGGCCTCCCGACGGCCTCCTGTTACGGTGTGCAGTACTCGAGCCGAGTTGCCGAGAAGTCATAATAGACTATCAGGGCAAAGGCGAATTAGGCCAACGCTATCTTCCCGTGAGCATGATGTCACACAACTCCGACTTGCTCTCAAATTTTGCGCCATTACTTCACCATCATACTCCTCGCTTGCCGGTCTCATTTAACGCCAAAGTGGCTCGCTATGATGGCGGATGGGATTTGGGCGATCCCTCTTCAACTGACAAACTTCAACATCGCGGTCGCTGTGTTGGGAGGCTTCATTTCGTTATTTGGCCTTGTTTCATATCAGGCCAAGGAGAACTACTATCTCTCTGAAGCTCGTGCGTCATCCATGGACAACCTCTAACTAAACACATCTGAATAGGGCTGACATTTCAAGACAGTGATAGCGCTTCTTGCAGGTGTCGCTTTTGGACCAAATGGCGCCAACTTCATCCGCCCCAGGGACTATGCTCAGTGTCACAGTCCGGGAATCTCGGAGCACGACTGTCAAGATAATCTGGACAGCATTACGCTGAACTTCTCCCGACTTGTACTGGGCGTCCAGCTTGTCCTCGCCGGCGTCCAACTCCCCAGCAAGTATCTGCTCAAAGAATGGAAACCCATCCTTCTGCTCGTTGGTCCGGGGATGACATGCATGTGGATGGCTACGAGCGTCCTCATCTGGGCCTTCACCGGGAGGCCTAGCTTTCTGCACGCACTCGCAGTAGGCGCGTGCGTAACTCCCACTGACCCTATCCTCTCAGCCGTTATTGTAAAGGGTAAGTTTGCGGACCACAATATACCCAAGCCTCTGCAGAATCTCATCGTTGCCGAGTCGGGCGCGAATGACGGCCTCGGATATCCATTTCTGTTCTTCGCTCTATACCTTATCAAATATGTCGGTCCAGGGGCAACATCTGGGGGTGCTGGGGATGCGGTTGGACTTTGGTTCGCCTTCACTTGGGGATACACTATCCTTCTGAGCATCGTGTATGGCGCCGTGGTGGGATGGATTGGAAAAGAACTACTCCACTGGGCAGAGGAACACAACTACGTCGATCGGGAGAGCTTCCTTGTCTTCGCAATCTCCATGGCATTGTTTGTATTGGGCACATGCGGATTGATTGGGACCGACGATGTCCTTGCCTGCTTCATCGCTGGCAACACCTTCACTTGGGACGACTGGTTCCGCTTGGAGACCATGGATGATTCCTTGCAGCCAACGATTGACATGATCCTCAATGTGGCCATCTTCTTCTGGTATGGGGCATTTATTCCCTGGAGCGCCTTCCACGATAACTCTATTATTCCTACATGGAAGCTCGTTCTCCTTGGCATACTTGTGCTGCTTCTACGGAGATTACCCTGGGTTTTTGCTATGCACAAGATGATTCCCCAGATTCAGGAGGTCAAGCAGGCTATTTTCACTGGTTTCTTCGGTCCCATCGGTGTCTCAGCGGTCTTCTACTTGTTTGTAAGCTTGGAATTCATTGAACAGCATCTTAGCGAGGGAGACAACGTCCCTCGTAGCGATGTCCAGAATCTGGCGGAGACGACGCGGATTGTAGTTTGGTTTCTTGCCGTATGCAGCATTGTAAGTCATGTGGTTCAGCCTCCCGCACGGAGAGATTGCTAACAGTAGTCTTGTAGGTAGTCCACGGCCTCAGCATCCCTGTTGGGAAATTGGGATACCTTGCACCGATGGCGATAAGCCGTACGGTCAGTGCAAGTTTGAGCGATGACCCGCGTGTGGCGGAATCGGGAGGCGGAGTTGCACTCTTCAGAAAATGTCTCGCCTGGGCCAAGAAGGGCGACGTGGATGTCAGAGATGTTCGACCGCCCCTTGGTCCCATCATCATTACCGACGCTCGCCCCCTTCCCGTGCCACCCACCTGTGTGGCGGGATCAGGACCAAGCAATTCACCACGTCAACGTGAGATTCGATTCCCTGACGACATTATCTAACTGCAAGAGGGCGGGGACAGTATCCTTCGATGGAGTTGCGGGCAGAAGTTCTTAAATCTGAGCTCGACAGTTATAAGCTTCGTGAACGGTTTCTGCAGTGATTGGGCTTGCTATTTCCGGGAGCTTCTCATTCTTGCCTGAACATTGACCAATCAAGAATGTACTTGAATGTCAATCAAACCAGGCCGCATGTTGAGATTACAGCATCAAGCGATGGGTACATATTTCATTTGATGAAGACGTGAGAATGGGCTTTCTTATTAGGGGGCAATTCCCATGCCTGTACGTCACCTCACGATTGAGTTACTATCTTTCAATCAAATCTATCATATAGTAGACTATAGTTGGTATTTGGAGTCTTTATGGAGTACTTTCTGCTGAGGTCAATGAGAGTATATAGATAGACATGCCTCCCCGTAAGCATATATTTGCACAAAACCACATGATCAGCTTGCAAAATACTAGAAGAATCCAAGAACTAAAAAATGTGTGAGAAAGGACGTAAGACCGTAGACAAGTACCGATTATTTCCTAGCCTGCGACTATTGCGCAAACTCGCCAGTATAGCCATGTCGTCTTTGACCACTCTTCGTCATGGTAGCTTTAGGTGGCCGTGGGCGACTGAGATCCACCCTATCCAATTCAAATCCCAAATCATCTCCTCTTTGGTAAAAGAGGAGTTACCTAGGTAAGCTCCAATAACCCTTAAGTATTCTTCGAGTAGACGGCTCGGATAGCATCTGCCTCTCTCTCCAAAAACTTATCAAAGGTCGAAAGCGGAAGGCCCCAGCTCTTAACCTCATCCATATCATATATCTTTTCCATATCTCGTATGATGAATTGCCCGCCAATGAACGGGTTTGACGTCTTCTGGGCCTCGATATCCTCGTCGGACATTGGGACCATCTTGAGCTCGCGTCCGGCAACTTTGGACAGCTTCTCGAAAATTTGGGTCACGGTTTGATACTCGTCCGCATAAAGGATCTCTTTTCCGTTGAACCGCTCTGGATCATTGATGACTGCGGAGGGGAAGACCCCCATGGTTTCGTCATCGAGGAGCGGGATATTAGTATCGGGACGTAGAGAAGTCACGGTGGCTCCAGTCTCAGCGAGACCAGGGAACATGATGTTGTGGAAAGCCAACACGTTGGTCATGAAATAGCCTGGCCGGAGGATGGTGAAGTACTTAAAACCGGCAGCTTTGACTTCTTTTTCGATGTCCTTTTTGGAGTTATGGATGACCGCAACCATGCTATTTGGATCGTAGTAGGTGAGAGCACCAATATCAGGGACAGAGTGGCTGGAGTAGACGATTTGAGTTACACCGACTTGCTTGGCGATTCCCAAGATCAGCTTGGCATGACGAAGGTTGGCACCAAAGTCACTGAAGTCCGGCATGAAGTTGATGAAAACGGTGTTGGTACCAGAGATAGCCTCTCGGAGAGCCTTCTCATTGTCGTAATCTCCCTGCCATAGCTTAACACCTAGCGCCTCGAGTGTCTTTGATTTGGCCGTGCCTGGATCGCGGGTGAGTGCATGGACTGCAGAGCCTTGATGAATGAGGTGTCTTGCTAGAGCACCTCCCTGGATACCAGTAGCGCCGCAAACAAAGACAGAAAGCTGAGACATCTGGCGTGATGTTTTGGATTTGGTGGGTTGAGTAGTGGTGGTCAATTTGAGTGGTTGAAAGATAGCGCTTTGGTGGTAGAGAGTTTCAAGTTTTCAGTCTTGGGTGAGATGAGGGGAACACTCATGCATATTTATAGAAGGATGGGAGCATTGGAGTATGACAAATCGTTCCTGCTGGTCCGCAGAATGATGCCACCACATCATCCCCAAGGCGGAGTTCCGCGCCGCGGCGATACGACTTGTATTGGAAATCTGCTAAACTCCATCTGGGCTGGAATACTATTGGCAGAATATGACGTGTACTTATCTTACTACTGATATGGCCGTCGCATCGCCTCAGTCTTGCACTACAAAGGAGGCGATCCCCTTCTTAAGCCAAACGGTAGACAAGGGTCGCTCAGGCAGGTAAGCCAGCTGCTTGAATGCACCTTAGAGACCATGAATCTCTTTTCACAAAAAGTTCAACGCTAGAACATTCGGACAAAATAGTCTGGTGTTCAGTTACACCAAATGGCGGATGGCTGTATTCAGTATTAGTGATGTGGTTCCCGAAGAGACTACTAGAGATTATGAGGGATATGGAGCATGGCGTGCGCAGGGGTGACGATCTCTTGCTATTTTATCTGCCGTGATTTTGATAGAAATTTAGATTACTCTAACAGTTTTCGATATATATTTCAAAAAACCACACTTGACTTTGGCATTGGGAGTTCCTTGATCCTAGATGACACGATTTAGTGATCTTCTCATGAGATGGTTGTGCAACTAGGTATTACTAGAAAGATCTCAGCTAAGCAATCATTTCCTTTAGTAAGAGTGAAACAAGCTTTAGTAACTTAGCAGATACAGAGTCTCTTGCTCGATACTAATCGATTAAGAGCGCAGCAACTTGTCCGAAGCATGTGTAGAAGGAAACAAGACCTCTGAAGGTCATCTTGCTCAGTAAGTAAATGCGACCGAATTTGTGAGCTACGGGAAGAATGTAGTAGCTTTCTGCCTATGTAAACCATTATTGAGCGTTCCGTCAGTCTCAGAGAGGGAAGATTAACCAAAATGTTTGGTTGGATTTGATTGAAGAGAGCTCTTTCTTGTTACGTTTCCCTTTCTTCGACGGCCATAACGAAGTGGCATATCTAAAAATGCCTGCTGGTAAGCAGTATAGCTGGGTATGAAGCAATGATCCGTTGTATTTAGATATTCACTATCTGCTGTTTCACCTTTTCAGTCCCTGGTGATGGACGCGTTGACTAGATATGTCGCGGAAGTTCCCAGATATGGCTGTGGTGTTGCAATCTTGTGCGTGCCAAAAATAACAGAGCAGCTCGTTGGTCAAAACCATATAGAGAGGGCTGACCGAAATATGAAAGCCGTCTGACTATTCCCAAGCCCTCCTACCTACTCCATAGTCATATAGCTCACCATCTTGAAGATTCTGAGCCGCCTCATCACTAACATTCTTCCAACCTTCTCCGGCAACATCTTCCAAACAGCCTATGTCAAACCGATGGCCAGCCCATCGCCCAGGAATTTGCAAAGATTCAGTGCCGGAACCATCTTCTGTCCAGACGGTAAAAGTACCAAGGACCTCTCCCAAGCTATATTTCAATGAACCTTGTGCGATAGTGTCATCAAGGACGAACTCCTTCGTTGTCAAATTGCGGAGAAGCACGGCCTTCTTGCGCGGATTTCCGCTCGCATCAGTAGGCATGTTCTGAAGAAAACCAGGAATCAAATTGATATCCTTTTTGCATTCTGGTGTTGATCCTATTCTTTTCTGGACGTGTGAGAGAAGGCTACCAGATAGTTCAACTTCGTCTGGGTCGTTACGCCATTCAAAGACCGCGCCTTTCTCGGCAAATTTTTGTTCGATGGAATAGTAGAGAGGATTCGGCTCGTCAGTTACGACCCTGGGGCCAGGGGCATCGTTTTCTACCTCCTCGTGCGCCTTACCCAGCAACTGACGACGCTCTGCTTCGTTTAAAACACCTTCGGGAATCCCATTTGCGTAGTCGCCAACGAATATAAGCCGATCCCCAGCCCACGGTGCTTCATCCTCAGCCAGAAGGGTTTGCACGCGAGAGCCGAGCAAACGAAAGAAGTAGGAGCAGGTGAGGGAGAGGCAAATCAAGTCTGGGCCTCCAGCCCTCTCGTCCTCGACAAGCAATGAAACGATGTGCTCAATAACTTCCTGAGGCAATGCAATAACTGGCGATTCCAGGCTAGCAATGGGATCCGGCAGACCGAGTCAACGATCGAATTCGGCGTGGAACTTCGCCAAGGTCTATGATGCTTGGATGGTCTGCTCACCTCTTCTGTTTGGATGACTGGATTGCATATGATGGTGCAATATATGGAACCCATTGGGGCCGGCGAAGGAGGCCGACGAGAGGTTCAAGAGCTCGATCTGCGAGCATCTCCAAGAGCTTCAAACCAGACTCGTGCGCAAGCACCTGCCGCTTGTCGATATTGACGAACTTCCAGTATTGACCCATCCTCGCTTTATGACTAACTATAATTAGTGTGACGCGATGGGGTCTAGATCATAGGATATTTTATGTAATACCCTTCCTTTATATAATAAATAAATAGCTTATCTATAGACCTTTATTAAATAATAGGAAATTTAAGTCTTTTATTAATTCTACTTAATTTAATAACCTCTAGCTATAGTAAATTATTATAGTTATAAGCCTAGTGTTATAAACAAAGGCCTCCGTCAGGCCACAGGAAGTCACATATAAGGTAGACTATTAAACTCTACCTTAGGGACTAATAGAAATAGCCTATTACTTAAGCAGAGTAATAGCTCAGTAATAAAACAGTAATAGCCTCACTATATATATACATTTATTTCTTAAATAGAAACACTTTCTTAGATAGTTATTAATACAATCACTACCACCTTCATTAAAACTAGCTTCTTAGTACTCACACATTAGTAGTAACTCACATAGCACTAAGATAACCTAATCACCCTCTTAGAATATCTCTAATTAGTTATATCCCTAACCTACCCTAGACCCCCATCCAGTATAAGTCTACTAACCATCACACATTAATAACTCTTATTTAGATGATTACCTTATCTTAATTACTATATAATAAATGAAAGATATTATAGCTACCATAGTTCCTCCTGCTCACCAGAATAACACGCCTACTACTACTACTAACCAAGCTACTATTATAGACGCTATAGATGAAGATAGTAATAATAGTAGCGACAACGAAGAAGATAATAACGCCAATCTAGAAGTTCAGCTTCTACACGAACAGATTATTTAACTTTAAGCTCACCTCACTAAACTTTAAGGAAACCTAACTACTATAATAAACCTAATAGGACAGTAAGCTACCGCAAACGCTAATCTCTAGGCTTAAGCTACTACTATCGCCTAAAGAAGAGAGCTAGGATAACTACTTAAGCCACTAGCACCTAAGCCATTCAATAGAACCTAAGCTGAATTATAAGGGTTTATCACTTAGCTTAGGGTGTACTTCAACTATTTCCCTATTACACTTAATAGCGATATAAGAAAGGTTACCTACACACACTCACGCCTTATAGGAATCACACTTAATTAGTTTAAACCCACTATAAGGGAATACCTTAGCGGAAGTAGTACTCAACGGACCATAGACATTATAACAAGCTTCAAATACTTTATAGAGACTCTTTAGTAAACCTTTAGAATCTAGGACGAAAAGCAAAAATTAGAACATAATATTAATTAACTCACTTAGACCGGATCAGCTTTAACCTTTAGCACTAGATACCTATAGCTATTAGTGAAGACTAAATAAGACTAGGAGTACGCTATATCCTATTACTTCAACAGACTTAAGAAAGAAGTCCAGGAAGAACTCTATAAAGAAGATAGGCTAGTAAGTATCTATAAATACATAACTATAGCTATAAGAATCAATAACTAATAATACTAATAGCAAACTCACAAACAATAACTAATAGTTCACACTAACACTAGAAGACCTTAACAAGGGTATAAACCAAGAATTATAATCTCTAGGACACACACTAGTCCTATAGAGCTAGGAGCTATAGAAAAACATAAGTATTTTAATTACAATAAGGTTAAACATATTACCACCTACTATAAGAAACCAAAGAAAGATAAGAAGGACTAAAAGCCTATACCTAAAGGGAAGAAATAACTTAGAGTAACTAGAAAAAGCAACACTAAGACCTTAGGAATAATCTAAAAGAAAGAATGCTTAAAAGACGCTATCTAAATTCCTAAGTTCTCTATATAACTCACACCAATCTTCCATAAGATAGTAAATAAAGAAGATAGGTAGGAAGTCAGCATCACACAAGGATAATAAAAGTAAATCAAGGGAATATTTCAAGAGTTAAAGGAGAAACTTAAGAAAGGAGAAGTCTTAGGCTATAGACCACCTATAACCTATAAATATATATTTCTCTACAAGAACGGGTTTATACTACTAAACCTAGAAGAGAAAACACTATACCTATAGGCAAAAAATATAATTCAGGCAGAATATAAGGAAGTTTATACTTACTACTAATAAAAGATAAGGGAATAAGACCCTAATACATTAGATATATTAATACTCTATAGCAGAATAACTAAATACACAATAAAATACTAGAACCTTATTTATAATATACTAACTTATTTAAAGATAGAGTATAACAAGGACTATAATAAAGAATTATAGATATTATACTATAGTATTAACTATAGGACACATTAGAAAAGGAAGGTAAAGAATAACTTCTTTCTATAGGTAGATAGGACTATACCTACTATATATACCAAAGAACAAATATAACGTTTTTCCTATCTATAATACTAAGTAGATTAATACACTATCTTTAAGGAAGACTTAGAAGAATACCCTACTAAGTATAACATTAAGGAGGTACCAACTAACTTATATTATAAACTATAATATAAAATCCATAAGGAATCCAAGATCAAGTAATAGCATAAAGAAAAAGAGCACGAGGATTATATAATGTATATATATAACAACAGAATCAAGCAATATTAAGACTAGAAGTGTAGGAACCACTTAAACAGCAAGCAGACCGCACTTAATCTAGCAAAAGATAGAGATAATAATCTTAATATAGCCAAACTATACCTTAAATAACACTAAGTGTAGGAAAAAGAGCTATAATAATACCACGAACAAGGCATACTATCTCTAATGGATAACGGGGATAATAGCAAAACAAAGGAATAAGGAATCACCTCCACAGACAAATAAGAATAAACCGGGAACCATCCTAATACAAGAGCAATAACTCCTAACAAACAAGTCAACCAGGCAAAAAACAATAGCAACTATCTATAAGAGGGCTATAGCATAGTATAACAACAATCAGTTAGAAGACCCTAGGAGCTATTAAAATAGGAAGCTCATATAATATTATTATCAATATTAAGATTAAGGGGAACTAACTCACAGCAATAGTAGACTATAGAGCGCAGGAAAATTATATCTCGCTAGTAGTAATTAACTAACACCTATTATTATAGAAGGGTAAGGAGAAACCCTATAATGTTATTAACATTAAAGGAACGAAGTTCAAGTATAACAATAGGATCATTAACTACGAGACTAATTATCTCATAACTAAGATTAATGGAAAAAACTTTAATATTTCCTATAATATTATATAAATCGATGCCTATAACACTATACTAGGCATTCTATAGTTAAGAGACATAAACTTACTAATTAATTAGTACACTAGCCGCATAGAGTAGAGGGATACTCTTATATACTAACACCAGGATCAAAGGAAACTAAAATTTTATTAGGTACTAGAAGAGTATAATAACTCTTTAGTAACTAAAGGCACTACTATAAAAATAGAAGATAGCGACTTAACACAGTAAGTAGATATAGTAGTCACAGCCTTAATAGCGCTACAACCTAGTATAATAAAGAAAATATCTTATTAGGAATTATAACGCATAATAAGAACATTAGCCTAAATATAGAAATAAGAAAAGGAACTTACACCTAATTTTAAAGGTTAGTATTAAAGGGATAAGGAGAAATAATAACAGAAACTCCAGGAAGAAATAACCCCTATAAACACTAATAAAAAACATAATAGAATAGACTTTATAGATTAAGCATAAATAACTAACTCCTAGAAAAGGGAATATAATGCAAAAAACCATCTATAGGATAAGGAAGCCTACAGTAAATAGGTAACAAAGGCGATAATAGGGGATAGACAAATAAACCACATTCCCTAGGAATATCACACCTATAAGAAGCTATTCAAGGAGACTCTCAACACTAGATTACTAAAACACAGCTAGTAGGACCATAAGATCTCTATTATTAACAAAGGAGAACCAGCTTTTCACAAGCTATATAACCTTACAGAACCCCAGCTATAGATACTCCATAAATACATTAATAATATATTAGCGAAAGGCTATATATAACTATTAACTTCATCCACAGGATACCCTATAATATTTATACTAAAAAAGAATAGGAAACTATAACTCATTATAGACTACTAATAGCTTAACAAAATCACATATAAAGACAGGACACCTTTACCGCTAATTACAGAACTTAGAGACTGATTACAAGGTAAATAGTAATTCACCACACTAGATCTTAAGGGAGCTTACAACTTAATATAAGTTAAGGAAGGAGATAAATAGAAAACGGCTTTCAGGATGAAGTTTAGCCTATATAAGTATCTCATAATACCCTTCGGACTAACGAATACACCTACAACGTTTCAACAAATAATTAATTAAGTACTCCAGGAGTACCTTAACATCTTTATAGTTATTTATCTTAATAATATCCTTATATTTTCCAACAACCTAAAGACTCACAAGGAATATATACATAAGGTCTTAAGAAAATTAGAAGAAGTAAAACTTCTAATGGAGCTAGAGAAAAGCCATTTCCACATATAAGAAGTCGATTTCTTAAGACACACCATTTAACTAAACGAGATCTAAATAGAGCAAGGTAAAATTACTACAGTCAAAGATTAGGAGGTACTAGGCACTATTAAGGAAGTATAAGCCTTCCTCGGATTCACTAACTACTACTAATAATTCATCAAAGACTATAGAAAGATCGCCTCACCCTTACATAATATTATAAAAAAGGGAGTAGAATTTCAATAGGATATAAAACAATAGAAAGCGTTTTATGAAATAAAGGATCGGATTCTTTTAGAATCTATATTATAAATATTTAACCCTACGAGGGAAGTAGAACTTAAAACTAATACATTAGATTTTGTAATTAGCATATAACTCAGTTAGAAAGATAATAGTAAAGTACTACACCTAGTAGTGTTCTTCTCAAAGAAACTACACAGAGTAGAACTTAATTACCCTATCTATAATAAGGAGTTTATAGCTATCATATACACATTTAAAGAGTTCAAATACTACTATTTAGGAACACAATATAAAGTAAAGGTCTACACAGATCATAAGAACATCTAATA